GACTACGAGGGGGAACTATGTGCCTGCCGGATGCGAGTGGCTAATAACAAACTTCCGGAGAGGAAAAATTCCTGTCACTGGAATTTGTCAAGCGGAGCAAATTGCGTTCGCAGCTCCTACGCGCTGCATGGACGGAACTGAATTCAAAAATGCGAAAATCCTCCCGAAAACTGGTAGCTACCAGGCCAGGCCTATGTCACACACGGCCCCGGCATTTTCGGATGTTCTTTTGCTTATAATACTAGAGATTATGATTAAATTAAATATTCTTAGACAGAGTTAGCTTAGTCTTTAGGTTTAAGTTAGGTACTTGTAGGAGAAAGTAAGATTTTCCAGGAGCTAGACGATTTAGAGTCTAAGCTGTAGGTCAGGTTAGGAGGTCCTAACTAACTCTTAGGGAATTCTGGAAGAGTTGTGGGTATTACATAAGGTGTAAGCCCCTTAGCGGGTTTCACTTCGATTGGCTTGGGAAGTGGAAAGACCGCCACTGACGCCGCACTAAATTGCCTTTTAACTGCCTTCACCGGCAATTAATGCCATTCTCGCTGGCACTTGGCTAATTGCAGCCGCCGTTAACAACTAATCGCACTTGGCGTGGAAATGCCGCATCATCGACGTGTGTACAGTGCACGCCACCCACCTCCGCCCCATCAATCAAACATGAAATGGAATTGGCTGAAAACCGAAGGAGCCTTGGCACCATTGCGACCATGTCTTCGTCTGTTAACGTGTCGTGGCCCAAGGCCTTTGACTTTGTGCTGATGCCCACCTTTGGTACTGCAGCCCTAATACCTAGCACAATAGACGTGTCCTTGCATCCTCATTAGCACAGTAGCCTACTTTTGAGGGGCAATGCACCAGAAGCTACCTGAAGTTCTTACCAAACCGACGTAATCTGTTCTCAAGACCCACTAGTGGCTAGAGAAGGATAACTCCAGAACCACCAGATTAATCATAAAACTTAGAGTTAGGTGGAAGTGTACTTGGAAGGGGGGTGGACAGCATGCATCAGTCAAGTCTGCCCCCAAAAAGTAGGCAACAATATATGAACTCTTTCCGGCTCTGGGCACACTGGAGAAGCGAAACGAAGCCAAACTTTAAAACACTGGAAGCGGCTCTCTCTTCTCGACTACGAAAGCTCCCCAAGAACGAGAGAGAGAGCGAGGCCCGTTAGAAGAGCGACTGGGAGAAAGTGCTCCGCCGCCCACAGCCGAAGCCCCCTCTGGGTCCGTACCCCGCAAAATGCAAAATACGATAAAGCCCTCAAAGAGGGGGGGGGGGGGAGGAGCAGGCAAGTCGGAGAAGGCATGGGACTGAGGGAGCACAGGAGGGCTCCTGCGAACCGTTACGAAAACCCACTGCAAAGCAAACCAAAAATTTCAGCAGCCCAAGGTGAAAAGGTTGGGTGGTGGGTGGTGCAGGGGGTGTCTGTGGGAAGGGGAGGCCTGGAACACGCAAGCCACGACCTATCCACACAACAATCGGGTGTGGGTGTTGGACGCAGCCAGCACTCGGAGCGGGCTGGCTTTTGAGTGGCACTAACCGCTTTTAGTGCACACACACACACATGCGCAGGACACACACACACACAGTCACATGCGGCAAGGATGCTGCACGCTGCAGTAGGTTGTGAGGTTAACTTCGTTTGCGAAAATACAAGCCACATCGCCCCTTCACACTTGGCCGAAAACACTTTGTGGCTCGAACCAACAAGCCCGAGACCCACAAGGCGCTCCAAGACAGATTCATTTGGGAAAGTCGCCATTTTCGCAGCCATTTAGGCCTCTACTCTCAGTGTACAGAGCTTCCTTTGGCAACTGGTCGAGTGGCAGCAGGCAGGCGTCTCTCGGCGAGTTGTTGATGTTTTTACGGTCCAAAAATAAAATGTGTCACACGCAGCAGTGCCACTCAAAGCAGGGCATAGAGCAGGGCTTAGAGCGCAGTCGGCCAACAGCAGAAGTCAGTTGGAACGGACGGCAGCCCATTGTCTTCGCCGCAAGGCCGGGCTGATTCCCGCTCATCACTTTAATGGCCTGCTGCCCTTCTAACGGAAATAATTAAAGTCCTGCTCCTGCGCTCCGCTAGCTGTCAGAATTCTAGGACACCTGCCACCGCGACAGACCCCTCGGGCTGCGAAAAGATACAAACACGTTCGACAGCCCCTCCCCCCACGATGGGGAGGCGCCCCAATGCCCCATTGACAGGCAAATATTCTACGTGCACGCAGCGCAGCGACAGTCTTCGATGGATGTGGAATGCGAGTGCGTCCTGGGTACTATAGTTGAGTAAGACTTTTGCAATTAGGGGCCGAGATGAAGGGCACGTACTGTGAGAAGTGAGTGCTGCCTCTCGGGACTCCCCAGCAGAGGAGGCCAGTGATCCAGTGCTACTGGGATCAGTGAGCAGTTTCCAGACTCTCTTAAAGCCTTAACCATGGCTGGCCGGCTCGCCTTTTTGGCACTCGGAAGCCCTGCCATGATTTAATCAGAGCTATCGCACCGCTTTCCAAGTCAATGCTCCCAAAATGGAGCTTATTAGCCGCCAAGAGGAGGAAACTTTGCGCTGCGTTGGCAGCAATTAAAAACCGCTACACCTGCTGCTGCCAATTAATAGTTTTCAGCGTTTTTCTACTTTTTTCAAGTCATTGGCCAAGTCAAACAAAGGCGAGACGCAGAGATGGGGAAGCCCCACGAGATGCAGCGGAGCAGAAGCGCCCTTTCTGGGAAGAAAACTGCAAGGAAAGCAAGGAGTCGTCGGAGGAGAATGCTGTGCCAGTGTTTGTCCGGAAACTTCCCCCTGCCTGGTATCTTTCGGAACAGAGGGCACTGAGAGAAAATTGTGTATTCTCATCGCAGGTATCTGTACTGTCCTAAAAAGCAGTGCTTGATTTCTCGCCATGCCTCGGTAAGATACATCTCTATCTGCAGCCACAGCTGGGGCAATATCCTTATCTGCATTGAGGGAAAAGTTCTGTGCCTGCTCCGTTTCCTCAGACGCCTTCCAATTGTTGGTCCCTGGCAGCTGCGAGCTGGAGCTTGGAGACTCCAGACTTTGGGTGCCTAAATGCCCGCCATTTATTTGTGAATGGCACTCGGCAGCTCCCCAGAGGGGAATGGGCGATGGGATGCCATCATCCTGCGCCATTTCAGGGCACCAAACGTGCCGCTGCATGGCAAACAAGTTGGAAAACTTTTCCGCAAAGCCTCCAAGAAGCGACCGAGGCCGCAAACTATTTTCATAAACTTTCATTCAGTTTCGCAAGTAATCAGGAAAGCATTTGAGGGCCTGAAAGCAAGTACTTCCTCAATTTATTACGACACTAATCTCCTCTGGAAGCGAGAGTACATCTAGCATTAGGGACGGATCCGCCGGATGGATCGAAATCAGTATCAGTATGAGGTTGTGGGGAACGCATTCGTCATTTAATTTCTCGCGTTTTCATCGGGAAACTTCAATTGCATTTCAAATGCAGGCAATGTGCATTTGTGGCTGCCACTCCACATCGCTCATGCGTCGCGTTGCACATAAATCAAAATAATTTACTGCCTCGCCTGAATGTGGAATTTATTGAAATTCCGCCAACAATGCTAGATACTGCCACTGGAAGCTGTGCCCATTGATGGCAGTGGCAGCCCTCCAGTTCGTAATTCAATATGCTGATTTGAGGCATGCAACTCGATTGGAGTCCCCACTCCACTCGCCCGTTTGGCTGCCACTCAGCACTCGTGCGAGTGCCAATAGAAATGCCAAAGCGACCTGACCAACTTTGCAGCTGATTGCCGGTGCGAGTGCCAAGTGAAAGTCAGCCAGGAGCGGCTCAGCCAGGCCGGAACAGCCTGGCAAGTATTGGCATCCAAAGTTTGGTGTTCTCCCCCCGACCCCCGGCAGCGGCACCCTTATTTCAATTAAAAATTGTTCAACAAATCAATTTACCCGGCCTGACGCAAAACTGATTAAAGCAAACACGCGGTCGGGGCGAAGAAATGCAATTAGAGGGAAGCCCCTTTCGAGTTGGCTTACCCGTTCTGATCCAGGACCCGGGGGGCGATCTAGATGGCAGCCAGCCTCTTCTTCTGTTCGGGGGAGCTTCCGCAGCGGCGGGTAAATTAATTTATTTGTTCAACTTTCCGATGTCAGGGAGCCAAAGTCAAAGTTTTGCGGCGCGGCCAAAAGAAAAATAGTCAACTATAACTATAAGGAACAGTGCGCCGGGCGTGGCTTGCACCCGGGTCCTGGTCCCGAGACTCTTCTGCGGGGACTTTATCATAAAGTTTATCCAAGGACTGCACGGAGAAAAACAAGTACCAGAAGCATTAATTATGGCCATTTTTCACAGCAATCCTTAAATATGGACCCATTTCATCCCATCCTATGGAAGGATATGGACCCAGGAACACCCTCCCGACCCCCGACCAAGCATAGAAACAGGAGCATCGACGTCTTGCTCCGTTGAGTGCCTAATGAAGGTGCCAGACAGGTTGGGAGCAGTCGAGCAAGTACTCTTATCCGTTTCAGTGGCTCCGAGACGGGACTCAATCACATTACGAGGACCACCACCCGATTAAACCCCTTGTCCACCCCAATTACTGGCCATTCAATCGGGAGTTTATTTAAAAAATTGCATCAACAGTGCGGTGACTTTGATTAAGCCGGCATGGAGGACTCCTCTCCAGCTGCGCGAGTGTCTGGTAATTGAATTCAGAACCGCATGCGAGTATCGCTTGCATTAAAATTGCGGAAGCAGGATGAGTATTTTGCATGTAAACACCACCCACCGCCAGCCCTACCATCCTTCCAGCTGCCTTCCCCTCATACGCGGTGTCACTCACAAGCAGCATCGGGGAAAATCAGGTTTTGCAATTAGGCCTTCATTGAAGTTCGGGGTATATATATTCAATTATTGTGGCAACCACAGAGGAGGTGTGGGCAGGCCGTAGAGCCCCCGGTTGAATCATGTTCTAAAGATAATAGGGCATTGCGAGAAGAGAACATCCACTCACCTTTCTACGTCCACAACAAAGCATTCTTCGCACACGCGAATTTCCAGTAGCCGCTTTTAATCGAGTAAACTTCTTCTTCCACTGCATTTATTAGTGGGGATCCGGTTGGGGAGTATCCTTCTGCGCGCCGCCTGTGGGGTGGTGGGGGTTCGTTTGAAGGCAACTCGTTAATTGCCCGCTCGGTTGACTTCTCTTCCAAACCGAGTTGGATTCGATGGCATGTGGTTGTATGCTGAACACGTTCCGATTAGTTGGATTCTTACAAAAATACGGTATAAAAATGCAAGTTCGATTTATTCGTTGCTCGTTGTGGGTTCCTGGAAGAATACAAGGTGTATGATGAGTGGTATTCTCTTTAAATGGAGACTTGTCTTTATTTAAAGTATCCCATTCTAACTAATATTTAGTTACTAGTCCTATTTCTCCATCTTTTCATATATTCATATCCTGAAGGAGTTCCCTGTGGGTCGGTGGGTGTGTCACCTAATGAGGCTTACAGTTCCCGAGCCTGAAGCCACGGGCCTGACATGTGTGTCATATCAGACCCTTGGACAACTTTCCCTAACCATCCCTTGAAATCACCCATAAATACACTCACAGCAAGTATCCTTAAAGCGTTAATTTCCACTTTTTAGTTAAAATAAGGTAACTGGCTGGTGCTCTGAGATAATGGCTGAAAGATTTGCAACATTTGAATAAAGGATCTAAGCAAAAGTCCTTAGAAGACCGACAATCGCGGTGCAAGAGTGAAAAGAAACAATTTAATTTTCCTGATTCTGCTCAGCATTGTTAACAAAACACAAGCCAACACTTTTAAATCCCGTGCCAAGGCCTCGGTGCAGATCCTGGCCAGCGAACAAAGCGACGCCCTGGTATCCTTGCGAATGCTGGATATAATTTTTAATTAAAAACATTTTGCAGGGCTTTGGACGAGAAGGGTTGAGGGGGAAAGGATTGTTTACATGAAATGCAACTGCTAAGAGCGTGTGGGGGTGTTTAGATAAAGCCCCACAGCTCCAGATACACAACTAAAGCAGCAGGAATACATTCCTAAAGGGAGCTTAAAGACTGACTGGTTTTGGTGTGAAATTTCTAGTTTGAATATTCATTTTAAATAAACTCTCTACTAATTTATAGAGCCACTAGTCATTAGTCATTACTTTGTATCTTATCTCTGGCTAGTGATGAGGAACACTGTCCATCATCGCATGTAATGTAATAGGCATCTGAGGGTGGGCCGAGGGTGGAGCTACTTCCGGCACTTTCCCACGACTCCAACTGAGGTTTGTGCAGCTTCTGGAATAAAAAACCTTTGTCTGGACTGACTAGAGTCCTGCACAGAACAACTGGCAAGGAATGTCCTTATGCAAATGTGAGTGTTTAATGGCCCACATCTGTGTCACTGGCAACTAGCTCCTCTTCAGGGGAGGCTGCTTCAGGCAGCTCAAGGGTTTGGAAGACCGAACCAGCCGATTTTAAACTAAAATACAGTTTCGAAAATAATACTTTATTCCAAGGTATGCAGAAAACACACTTCCCAGCAATGCGTGAGTTAGATGCTGCACGATTCAGATGCACGACTTGCAACATGGAGATACAAGATACTTCCTGTCACAGCAGCAAGGACAGAGTACAGCAATCCACAACGAAATGGGTGTCGAGTTGGGGGTCTGTGCTACAACAACAGGGTGGGAGCAACAACCACTACGGGGGGGACGGCGGGGACACCATTGCAGGTCACTAGTCTCCATCTGCCGGGGACGTTGGCTAGGCGCGCATAATATGTGTTATAATGACATCATAACTTCTGCCGCCATGAATTCCCATGTCCCATGTACATGCAAGTCGTTTTTAGAAGACTCGTAAGTGTCAAAGCCCCGCCCCCAGCCATTTGGGCGGCAAGTATTGCAAGCCATTTGTCAAACAATAAAAAAGGGAAGATTCTTCCACAGAATTGGATTTGGGGAAAAAGTTAAGGGCCACAGCCCAGGGGGGGACATGGTTTAAACTTGGTTTTGGGTTTCCACATCGAAGAGAGCCTTCTAATAGTTATCCTTTAAAGTTGAAGAACCTTTAAATGAAACCCTAACACTCTTGTCCTTTTCCACGCGGAATCAGCTATGTATTCTCAGGGTATCCTTCATAAAAGTTGGACCATACTCGCCACTCGGACCATAGGAACCGGAAAAACGGGGAGTACCAGCGAGGTTTTATCTAATTAGTGAGTTGCAGATTCCGAAAGGATGGAACTGCGGTTGCAGGGCCACTGCACCCCACAAAGTGGGCTTAAGCGGATCAAATGAAGCAGTATAATTAGGTCTTCGGGTTCTGCAAAGGATAAAGGTGCATGGTCTGGAACAAAGTCCGGTCCCACATTAATGGCGGTTTAGGTTTTCCACAAAAATAACCTTAGATGCGACTGGCTTGTTGCCCCACACTGAGCCTCCACCGGGTTGCTTGAAAATTGGAGCAAAGCTCTTAGCTTCAAGGGTAGTTTGGGGCCTCTCTGGGGAACTAGGGAAGAGGGGAGGCGCCGCGGAGGAGCGGCAGTGAAAAAGGACACGAAACATTTCTGATTGTTAATGCCGTGGTTAATGTTTTGTTTTGAGTCCTTCCCCTCCGTGCTTATTGTCCCTTTCAGGTTTCGCAAGTCGGTTTCCTCCAAAAACAGAGTGGCTTGGGGCTGGGGACTTCAAGTCCTTTGATGCTGGGGAGCAGTCACCGCAAGACATTTGATTTCTCGACGGCTGCGTATTGTTTTGACGAAATGCTGCGCCTGGATTAGGGAACTGCCTTCCTCTTTAATTAAAACCCGTATATATACAGCATTTCCGGGGGGCCTGTAGCGAAGGACTCTTCTAGGGATAGTGAGGGCCCGTGGTTGGCCCTTCAAGAGTAAAATAAACCTTCTTCAGTACTTGGATGTTGCGAACGGAGTCTCACCTGCAGTTTGGAGCAGGAACTGGCGCCCGACGCTCGACGTTCTTCCTTCAATCCGTGCCAGCGGCCGCCCGAGTTATGAAAACATGAGATCACAAATTGCGAATGACAACAACTTGGTGGCAGCGGGAGGAGCAGGAGCCGGACCCGGAGCAGGAGCCGATTAGACGGAGGAGGAAAAGTTGTAAGTGGGCCGCTGTAATGTGGAGGATGCACTCGCTCTCTCGCTCTCTGGGCCGCAGCTAGTCCACTCTTTGCAGTGGCGCTGGCCTGCTCGTATACTTAATAGTTGTAGCTCCGATTTGGGTTTTCCTTCCGCCGATGCTGCGGCAGTGAGATAACTCTAAATGCACAAATGCCGAGATGCGAGGCTGGTGGCTACGTTGTGGTCCTTGAAGCTGGTGAAGATAAATAGCTGGTTCGGTGGTCATTGACTTGAAAGTACATCCTTGCATCCTTTGCTGCGCTTCCTCTCTCCTCGCGTTCGTTGCGTTTCGTTGCCCGTTGGGTTTCACAAATTGGTGCCGACCGCAGCAGTCGCTTTTTTGCTGCGGCTTTTTTTTCGCAATTTATGAGTTAATTTCAGCATGTTTCGAGGGAAAAGCTGCCACTACTTGTATACAGCGCCAGGCGCTTATCTTGCCCAAATTGATTTTTGGCCGAGTATCGCTTTGGGCCGATGGGGGACGACGAGTGAGAGTGCGCGCGGGTGAGTGCGGGTGCGGGTGCGGGTGCGGAGAGGCCAGCAGCGGAATGCGAACTCCGTCCGTGTGCCAGCACGAAGCTTTCACAACTATGCGAATTTCCTGCGTACGAATTTCAGTATAATAAAATATCCTGTTCCGTTCACCAGAAGAGAAAGAGCCCCTGAGTCGAGTTCCTGCGCCGACGCCGCGAATTTGGAGCAACTCACTCACACCAGGGCAGAACACCCACCACTTGCGGGCTCTTCCCAGCTCCCACTCACTCCACCACTCGGTGTACTCGGTACTCGGTAGCCTTTTTTTTCCACTTTTCTGCGGCGTTACTGGTCCGCGTTTTTTCGCTTTTCCACCGCACTTTCCTTGTGTTTTCCACTACTTAAGCTGCACTTTAGGCCTGGCGCGTCTTTTTTTCGTTTTTTTCAAGCCGCAACTCCAGTTTTCTTGGCTTTGATTCACCCACAAAATGGATTCCTGCAGAGCAACAACGGTCACCAGCGAACGACGAGAGAAAAATGCAGCTTGAAAATGCAGGAAGAAAGTACGACAGGACGCGCATGCGCGAGAAAAGCTAGTGTTGCTAGATGCGAAAATATGCAGTTTCAAAAGTTTAGATGGAACTTAGGGCTTTATTTATACATATTTATAAATAAATATTCAACTTTTAACATCAAAACGATTTAAAATTAAATTATATAAGTGGACTAAGAGTCGAACTTTATATTTTGTGGTAATTTAGGGGAAATTTGCTTAATATGTATATATGGTGGAGGGCACTAAATTCCAAAACTGCTCCCATTTTAAATCAAAAGTTTTAATTAACGTACGCATAACACTTTTGAAATTAATAAAATACCATCATGTAAAATTCATGAATCTTGACGTTTCACGAGTTAGTATTTCTTGAAATAGTTGGCAGCACCAATATAAATTTTTGAAAAGCGCGGGTATTATGCAACACTAATGAAAGTTCTTCTGTTTCAAAATTAAACTTATTCAGTAAAATAATTTTAAAAATACCAAAAAACGCTTTATGTACATTGCACTACGTTTTTATATAAGTACAAGTATTTGACCCAGCGCCGATCATCGTTCAAAGTGCATTGAACTCATATTAGACGTTGTCCAGCACTGACAACTTTCCGGCTCTCACTGTTTTGCAAGTGCAATATTTTTCGAAGAAAATAGTCAATAATGTTTCATCATAACACAAAACTATGCCGGCTGGCCAGTAAGTAAATGAATTCATTGTGTTTATGTTACTACCGCCCCCGCTCTGCAGCTAACGTGGCCGCAAATGTGCGCCGCTTGAGCGGCCAGCAACCGAAGACTGCAATTCTAATGCTCAACATGGGAGGCCCTCAGCACACGGATCAGGTGCACGACTACCTGCTCCGCATTATGACCGACCGTGATATGATCCAGCTGCCCGTGCAGAGCCGCCTAGGACCGTGGATCGCACAACGGCGAACTCCCGAGGTGCAGAAGAAGTACAAGGAGATCGGTGGCGGGTCACCGATCCTCAAATGGACAGAGCTGCAGGGACAACTTATGTGCGAAAGGCTGGACAAGATCTCCCCGGAAACGGCGCCGCATAAGCACTATGTGGGCTTTCGCTACGTGAATCCTCTGACGGAAAACACGCTGGCGGAAATCGAAAAGTGAGTGATGTAAACTTGAAGTATCGATTGAAATGCGAAGCATGCTTTGGTTTCATCGCCGCTCCTTCGACATCGTCATAACAATGTGCTAATTTCCACCTGTCATTTTCAGAGACAAGCCAGAGCGCGTAGTGCTCTTCTCACAGTACCCACAGTACAGCTGTGCCACTTCTGGGTCAAGCTTCAATTCCATCTTTACCCACTACAAACAGAAGTAACTATCCAAGGGCTTACATGTTTCAAAATACTTATGGCTCCCTACCTTTCCAAAGCAACCCACCATCGAACATCAAATGGAGCGTCATCGACCGCTGGGGCACCCACCCGCTTCTGGTCAAGACATTCGCCCAGCGAATCCGAGACGAGCTGGCCAAGTTCGTTGAGACAAAGCGCAACGATGTGGTCATTCTCTTCACGGCCCACTCCCTGCCTCTAAAGGCCGTTAGCCGTGGCGATGCGTATCCTTCGGAGATTGGAGCTAGTGTTCACATGGTTATGCAGGAACTAGGCCAAACCAATCCCTACAGTCTGGCCTGGCAGTCGAAAGTCGGACCTCTGCCTTGGCTAGCTCCAGCTACGGATGACGCTATTAAGGTATGTCTCCCAATCCAAAACGAAGAATGGTTTTAAAAAAATATATATTTCTCAGGGCTACGTGAAGCAGGGCCTGAAGAACTTCATCCTGGTACCCATTGCCTTTGTGAACGAGCACATTGAAACCCTGCACGAACTGGACATCGAGTACTGCGACGAGCTGGCCAAAGAGGTCGGCGTGGAGGAAATCCGACGAGCGGCAGCCCCCAACGACCACCCACTGTTCATCAGTGCCCTGAGCGACATTGTGTCGGATCACCTGAAGTCTCAACAGGCTGTCAACCCCAAATTCCTCATGCGGTGTCCGATGTGCACCAACCCAAAGTGCCGGGAGAGTAAGAAGTGGTACCAGCAACTCTGCTCCCAATAGACCCCCTCTCCCCGCGATCTAATCGACGAAAGGTGATTCATGGGCTCCAGCTCCGCGTTTAGTTTTAACGGGTACGGCTTTTCACACTAGCTTCTATTGGTTTTCCATCGGCAATAAAAATACAGAAAGATTCACACCACCTATATTGATTAATGAATCGACAGAATTTTCATATCATTGGATGACGTCAAAAAACACAGTCACTATGATAAGGCTTCCAAGGGAAATATCTGGCTTCTTTCATGGAGGCATCATTACACAAGATTTCGTCTTGTACTCCATTTAAACTTCTTTGTCCAGGAGGATCAGCTCCTCGTGACTAGAAGTCATGGTAAAAATAGTTTTCTATGAAGGCCATTACTTCATGCCCCCCTTCACTAATATACCCCGAGGCGTTACGAGGTGCTGGGTATTTTTACGACCACAACAAACAGCTCCAAGTGCTCCTCTCTGGCGCTCGCTCTCCGGCCTCACCGTGCTCTCCGCACGTGCGCTGCCTTGGTATTTTTTTTAGCAGAACAGCTGTTCCGTGACTTTCAGTGTTATTTGAGTTTATATTTCTGTTGCTCGCGTTTGAAATAGTTCTGAGTCGTGTTCAAATGGCCAAAGAAATTGGACAAAGGCGGACACGCTTTTCCCCACCTGCCCCCAGAGAAATTAGCATTTCGCATCCTGCAACAGGCTGTGCCATCTTCGAAGTCCAGAGCAAAGACATTGCATAAGAGGCTTTCAATTTTTCATCACAAGTCGAAACTGAAACCGAGAATCGGAAGTTCGACTTTGTATCCACACTCCCAGGGATCCCACGAAAGCATCGCAATTGATTGGGGCCTTCGATTTCCAATTCCCGCAGACTTTTGCCAATTAAGCCGTGATCTGGCGAATTGACTTGTCAACCAAAGGCACCACTTGCAAGGTGTAGCCCAATTTAGCCCACGAATCCCATCGTACTGCCCCACAGTAGTCGGAATCATCCGAATCTAATCGCCGGCAAAGATCATAAATTAATTCGAAGAGTACGCAACTACGACCCGCGAGCATGAGCAGGAACCACAAAACCCGCCGCGGAGGAGCTGGTGGCTCTCCGGCGGGGCCAGTCTACGGGGTGATCTCGACGTTGGACGACGCCGCTCCAAATCCCGCGGAGTTTGCCAGGTAAGGCTTATATTTCGCTGACGGGTTTTAAATCGCCCCCGGCCGTGAGAGCCAAACCGGTTTTTATTTCGGCTTAAAGCTCCGCTTCTGACCCCTTGGGACCCCTAACCCCCAAAGAAATGGACCTACTTAAAGTCGATATATAACCCCTGACGTAGTAGCTGTAGCTTCGTTGTCAAAGGGCGCAGAAAGATAAAACCGAAATGTTTCTCATAGTTTGGTTCTCGGACACTTTTTCGTGTTTATATTTCACAAATATCTTAAATTTTATCTTTCACACGAAGTGGCAGGTAGGGATATCCCAAATAGGGGGCCTGGAGGATTCCGATTGCAACTCTTATCGCCTTCAGCCAGATACGTGCCGACACTTGACTCCCAATGGGCGTAAATTAATTGAATTACCAGATTAGATGGGGATAGTATGTGACCGCCGGCACACCTTCCCTATCTCTCGGATGCCAGATTAGCACACAGATATATCCAATCAATTAGTTTGCGGAGGTTCCATCGTCCGTAGGCAGATTAGGCCATTATCGTGGGATAATTGTTTTGATTCTTATTTTATTACACTATTTTGAACTACTTTCCGATGGTTGCTGTCTATGGACTTGGGGTTATCTACGATATGGGGGTTAGTAAGCAATGACTTTCCCACATCATAAATCGTTAGTTTGTGAGGAGCCCAATGCTTTGGAGAACCGCAGAACCTCCTTAATCGCATTCGTCGGTTATCTGTCCAGAAGACAGACATAATGAACCGTAAATGCCTCCACAGGCCTGATAATGGGTTTTTGGGCTTATCTGAAACATTGGGCTGTTAAACTTTTCTTACTTCGGAGTGTAAAACTGGCAAATGACAGTCTACAATGTTGCTAAATTATATTGACTATTTAATGGGAGGTGCTATACAGGATTCCTATTTGTCTCCGAACTGAAACGATCCTCTTTTCCTCCGCAGATGTGCCTCCGCCGACCAGAAAAAGAGCGAACTAAGCCTGTTTCTCAACTGGGGAAGCCCTCAACAAAAGCACACACAAATCATGGGCGCAGCACTGCGCAACCGCAGCTGGGTTGTGGACCTGCTGGCGATCTTCTTCGGGATCGGCACTTGGCTGGGCGTGAACGGCACCTTCATCCAACTGCCGCTCCTGGTGAACGAGGCGCCGGAGGGCTGGAGCCTGCCCTCGTACCTGAGCCTGATGGTGCAGATCGGCAACCTGGGACCGCTGCTCTACACGGCCATCCAGAAGTATTCCCCCAAGAAGCTGAATGATGGCTGGACCATCCATGGAGTGCTCTTAGTGGGGGCCCTCTCTTGCCTGCTCACAGCATTCTTCTACAACCGCACTGCCCCGGTGGGCGGCACAGACCACAGCCTGGCGCTCTTTGTGCTGACCTGCTTTACGGCCCTGAACGCCTGCACCAGCTCCGTGCTCTTTATGCCCTACATGGGCCGCTTCAAGGAACAGTACATGGTCACCTACTTCATTGGCGAGGGCTTGAGTGGCCTGCTGCCGAGCGTCACAGCCCTGGTCCAGGGCATCGGCGAGAGTGGGGAGTGCATCTTGGTGAATGTGACGGAATCCGGGGAAGAGATCTACGAGCTGCAGAAGTCGCCGCCGCGCTTCGACACCCGTGTCTTCTTCCTGATCCTCTTCGGGCTGATGGTGCTCAGCTATGTGGGCTACACTCTCCTGAACGCCCTTCCACTGGCTAGGAGGGAGTACGCCCAGGTGACCGTCAGCGAGGGAAACAAATATGTCTACGGGGAGGCGGACCGGGATGCCAATCAGCCCGCCCAAGTGGAGAAACTCACCAAGGGCCAGTACACGTACATGCTGCTCTTGATGGGCGCCATTTCTCTGTTCAGCAACGGAATGTTTGGCAGCATTCAGTCCTACTCCAGTGCTCCTTACGGATCCAAAGCCTACCACTTGTCAGCCACGCTCAGTGTGATCGCCAACCCGGTGGCATGTTTCATGGCCATGTTCCTGCACTTCACATCGCTGCGACTGATAACCGTGCTCTCTGTCCTGGCGGGTCTCCTGACCAGCTATGTCTTCACTACGGCAGCCCTAAGTCCTTTGCCGCCACTCCACGACCAGACAGTCGGGGCCGTGCTAGTGGTTACCGCCTGGACCCTCCTCGTGGGGATCGTCAGCTACACGAAGCTGGGTATTACCACGGTGATGCGGGCCCAGGGCGGCCAGTCCCTGGTCTGGGTAGGCGCTATCACGCAGCTCGGCTCGGCCATCGGGTCGGTGTCCATCTTCTTCGCCATCAACTACTCGAACCTGTTCCAGGATGCACCATCGGGCTGTTGACCTCGGAACATGGTTTGGGTTCAGCTTAGTGTGATATTCCACCTCTATCGTCAGCTGGCACCTCAACGGGGACTAGCTCTTGGATTTTGTATGCCTTTACTGTCCATTATCGGTCGCAGATGACAGCAGTTGAAGCATTTACCTCTACACGATTTTAGGACGTTAGGAATCCTTACTTAGGAGCAGTGACAAATAACTATTTTCGAAATAAAAGACAGGAAAACGCGATGTAATGAATTCTAACTATAGATTTAGAGAAAATATATTCTGAAAACCATAAAGGCAACGTTCCTACACTTTCCACCACAAATACCTTTTAATTTTTCCAAAAATAAAGTCGAAAGTTCGGTTTATAAAATATTGTATTATTTTCAATAAACGGACTATTTTTTAGTCCTCCAGGACGTGTGGATCCTTTTAATATGGTAATCTTTAGAACTGAAAATTTTTCAATATCCAATCAATGCCGACTTTAGTATTTTTCAGTGGGAAACCTCTTTCGGTTCTGGTGTTGCGCCTGTTCCGGAAGACACCTCGGTTAGCTCCACTTCGCTGTCGACATCGCCCTCGTATCCGGAGTTGGTTTTTGAAGCTACGATCTTCGGTTTGTCCGGCCCTGGAGCACTGGCTTCCTCCTCCACGGTGCTCCGGCTGCTAAAGCAATCGGTGAAATAACGACAGGTGTCGCCCTGCTTGGCAGAACCCTCCCCCAGGACCTTGTTGAAGGCCTCGATCTTCTCCCGCAGACTGCGACTGGCACTGGGGCACCCGATCAGTTGGCTGGGGTGAGGGGAGGACCGCGGCGACTCGCGGCCAGCACTATCCAGAAAGGCCGACACTTTCTCCAGAGACTCTCGGGCATGCTTGAAACTCATCATGCTCTCGCGGAGCAGCTGGCTCTCGTTCAGATTCTCGAACTCGGTTATGAGACTGCGGATTTCGGAGACGTCCGTGGGCAAGCTGATGAACCCCACCGCAGGATTCTGGGTCGCATTCACAGTCTCGAATCCCATTATCAGACGCCGGATCTTTGTAACTTGGGTCGGAGAGCTTGTGCGTGCCACTTGCATCATGTTGGCCACGTCTCCCAAGTCCTTAAGCAGCTGCACCGACGACTGGGCCACCTCCTGGTGCTGCTGGATGCTGGACCTCAGGCGCTCCCGAAGGCCGTACAGGTAGGCGCTCATCCGATGCATCTGCTCCTTCTCATCGACATCGTCTAGGAATACTAGTTTAAAAATATTTAATAAAATATTGTCTCAAGAAAGACCCGAGCATATTTTTACCAGGTATAGCCTCCTGTTGGGTGTCCGGTTGGGCGGTATCGTTGGACATTTTCCTCCACAAGCAGATCTAATTTTAAAACCGAATGAAACTAGGGATTTTTTTTGAATTTGTGTTAGTTTTTAATGGAAAACTCATTGGTGACTGGGTCTGGAAAGGATTACATTTAGAAGGCATTAAATTCTTTCTGAGCATTCCAAAAGGGGAACCTGAAACGGGGTATCTCGTTCCCTATAATAACAATCACAAGCTCCTAACATGCTGGGAACTTCACTTTTGTTTGCTTCACAATAACCCTGTGTTTACTGGAAATGAAAAGTAATCTGACCACTTTTTGGGTGCCCATGTCCCACTGTATGCGGCTGGCGAACAGCTGTTCGGTGGTTTCTCGGTTTGTATATACGATTCTGGTCTGTTTTCCTTACGATTGGGCTTAAAAAGCAGTCGCAGCGAATCGCCGCAGGTCTCTGAAAAATAAATCGCCCTTAGTTCGGTGCTAATTTTGCGAAAAGCCACCTTGTTTATGCGAATAAAAGACCTTCCTGGTTGAAAAGTGCCGGATCGAAAGTTGAAATCGTTTTTGTGCGACGATATCCAGCCTGCTGCGGTGCCAGTTGCGTAGAAAGTTTTCCTCCGAACGCAGAACTGACAGAAACTGTCAGAAATATGTGTGACTGTGAAACTCCGAGAACCCCTGGTCTGAGCCCCAGTCCCTTAGTAGTTCTTCCGTAGCTTGTGATCGCCTCCGCCCTCTGAAAAAAAACACGAAAGTCACTATGAGCCTGTGGAGCAATCTTCGCCACTTGGAAAGCCGGAATCTGTACCTGGCTGTGAGCCAGCGCGAGCACCAGCTGGTGGCCGGCCACCTGCCCTCGGCCATCTTCAGGCAGCGCCTGAGCACGGCGGAAAACCTCTACCAGCGCAACCTCACCGGGCACTACGGGTGCGTCAACGCCCTGGAGTTCAGCGAGGGAGGCCAGTTTCTGGCTTCGGGTAAGCAGTGAATGGGCAAGGAGTGGGGTCTTCTGAGTCTTTGCCCTTTCTCCATTCCAGGGGGCGACGACAAGCGCGTTCTCCTGTGGAACATCGACCAGGAGGTGGTTTCCGAGCTGGGTAACCCGCGTTCCATGAACGAAAAGCATGCCAGCAATATTTTCTGCCTGGGATTCGATACTCACAACTCCTACATCTTCTCTGGAGGGAACGACGACTTGGTGATCCAGCACGACCTGTCCACGTAGGTTCCAGTTAAGGCCCATTCATATTTGTTTCACAGTCCAATGTCTATTTAAAGGGGAAAGATTTTGAACTTTTTCTCTCATGATGGTCCTGTCTACGGCCTCAGTGTGGACAGGACTAGCTCGAACCTCTTCAGCGTCGCTACGGAGCACGGAGAGATCCTGGTGTACGACCTAAGAGCTGGTAAATCCGATCCTCTGACGGTTGCCAAGTTCAGATCGCCTTTCAACGCTGTGGAGTTCCATCCGCTTAACGGCAACTTCCTAGCCACCGCGAACGCCAAGAGGGGAGCCATGTTATGGGACCTGAGGCACCACCAGCAGTGAGTGAGCGATGTCCAGGGGTTGTCCCCGATACTAACTTGTTCTCCCCTGCTGTAGAGCCCTCTGCCAGTTCAACTACATCCCGGAGTCGCCTAGCTGCATGAGCGTGCGCTTCAACTGCAATGGAACCCTGCTCCTGACCCTGCACAGAAGACTACCCCCCATTATTTACAGCCCTGGGTCCCCAGAGCCGGTGGCCACCTTCTACCACGACGAGTACTTCAACTCCTGCACCATGAAGAGCTGCACCTTTGCCGGGCCCCAGGATGAGTTAGTGGTCTCCGGATCCGATAATTTCAATATGTTTGTTTGGCGCCTGGACGGAGTGGAGGGTAAGTGGGATTGGGCAGCGGTTCTATGGGTGCCACCTCAAAGTCTAATTTGTATTTTCTCCACAGTGAACGAGAGAAACCAGTGGGTGGACACGCCCCCAATAATTCTGGCCGGACACCGATCCATCGTGAACCAGGTGCGATACAATCGGCAGCGGTGCTTGCTGGCTTCATCCGGAGTGGAGAAGATTATCAAGGTGAGACCCAAATAACTTTCGGTAATGAGCTCTAGTAATATTCTACCAATAAACCAGCTCTGGAGCCCGTTTGCGCAGGGCGGATGGGAGGGCTCCCTGGCCCAAGGCGACACCGTATCCTACTGCACCCGTTCCTTGCACCGGAACTCTTCAGACCACGTCTCGCAGGACTTCAGTGCTCGAAACACGGAGGAGGACCAGGTGATGCTGGCCTTCTTTGATACTTTGGTGCAACGCGAGCTAGAGTCTTGGAGCACGATGGACAACCAAAGCTCCGCTACTTCCGCTACTAGCAGCAGCACCACCACCGACGACACCTCCACGGAACAAACTGAGGCCGTCAGCTCAGCTACTGAGGACAACCAGGAGCAGTTACCCCAAGACGATCAGGAGCCCGACCTTCTTCCGGAACAGAACTGGCAGGGCAATGGGCGGGACAGTCCGAATGTCAGCGAAATGAGTTGGCAGACCTATCCAAATCGCATTTTCTACCTAATCGCCAAGAAGCGGAAAGCCCTGCTCCAACTGGCGGTCAGCAGCACCACCGGACAACCGCGGCGGATGGATCAGCTGCTCCAGCGACTGCTCGGCGAGCACAAGCAGGCGGCCACGCAGGCGAGGATTAGCGACTGGCTGGAGGAGACCCACCGACTCTTTGGGGACGACGAGTTGCCCACCACGTCGGCAGAGGCGGCCGCCCGGCAGGAGAGGCGACGTCTTGGCGATCGGAGAAGTCCCGTTCCAAAGTCAGGTAATTCATTAAGCTTTCCTCCCACGGGAATCTTCCAAAGAAAAGCCTTAATCATTAGTTTAGAATAAGTTTTCTTCGAGAAACTTGAACCTACTGTTTACAAATCTTGAGGTGGACCTTCTTTGTTTTTTTGAGACAACTGGTCAGTTTGATCTCAGCCAGACACACAGCTCCGGACACTAGACAACCAATCGCTAAGGCGTAGAATGCAAGCTGGACATCGGAGAGGGTGAGCACCTTCCAACGGCCCACTCCCAGCTCGGCTAGGTACTCCGGAAACCGCTGAATACTCCACTTGGCGCGCTCCCTCGTCTCGCCAGTCCAGAGGTTCATGATGCCTGCGGCCACCAGGCGCAGAATAATGCGATTGACATTCTCAAGGTACGGCGAGGGACGTGGCAGGACATAGGCTATGTGGTAGTTCTTCGGGCACTCTGGAATCTTGTGCACCTTCTTTGTCATTACGTAGCGGATGTCATTCAGTTCCAAGCTGGCGGATCGGGTGACACCAGCGAAGTGACCTCTCTTGGAGACCATTTGGATAAGGCGCTCTTCGCCTTCGGCCACCAGTAGCATCTTGGCGTCGAGGCGGCGGTAAACCTCCGAGTCACTGCCGTAGAATAGGTCGTCCTTGAAGGCGGGATGCTTGATGTAAATAGGTATTCCGGAGTCGTCGAGCTCCTTAAGAGTGTTGGGATCGCGGTAGTACAAGGGGCGGATGTAAACTGTGGCCAAACTGGACTCTAGAAGCGCCCCGAATATCACACTGACCAAGCACAAGGAGGCCACAAAGATGCGCTCCGAGTGAAAAGGCGGAAAACGACCCACATTGACCCGCACCCACACCACCCATGTATCGATGAATATACCCTGGGCAGTGGTTACTAATCCGGTCTTCCGAGCTCGGGAGCGGTCTTCGATCTCTTCGATGCAAAGCCTCAGATTGATCATCCGTAAGAGAAGCCACACCAGAGATCCCAGTGTTCCCACCAGCAGGAAGCACAACCAGACGTCCGTGTGAACAGCAAAGAGAGGCAGTATGGACTGGGGTATTCTCTGGGCCTTCTGGACATACAGGCAGAGATCATCCATGTAGACGGCGGAACTAAACTGAATCTGGTTGGTGAGGTAGTCTTTGATGAAGAATCCCGCGAAGATTATGTCCACCTCACCGCGATGGGCGCGGCCAACTCCGCCACTGTAGGATCCATCCGCCAAGCGGCCACTGGAATACAACCAAGATTGGAGACTGGAGGCTAGAAAATCGAACTGAAAACCAATTGGAAGCTGTCAGACTCACCCAAAAAACTCATCGTCCGGCCAAAGATAATCAGGGGTAAAGTTCAAGTGCTTGGCCACGGTTTTGGCCAGCTTGGAATCTGCTCCTCCTACACTTAGAACCTTCTGGGTGGCGCCATCGCCCACCACGCTGGAGTACACCGAGTCGAAGATATAAATTCTCAAGGGGTAGCCTTGGAGGTCTTGGTAAATGCGATCATAGGTACGAGATCCGTTTACCTTCAGGGCAGTTTGCCGAAAGGGATTGTAGAGTACCACGTTGTCCACATCCAACATAACGTAGTAAATCCGACTGTGACCATGTTTCAGCCAAATCTGGGCCATTAGGTCCAGCAACAAAGCGTCGTCCTTCGGCGAAAAACGTTCCAAGGCGATAATGTAGAAGCCACCTGTGTTGCGCAGTCCATCGAGGATTATTCTCACTTGCTCCACTTCCGCAAAAATGTAGAAATGATGCCTAATAGTGTCGGCCTCCGGTGGGGCATTCTGCTCCTGGCTTAGGCTGATCGTCAGGGAACTCCTTTGCTGCTCTAGCAGAAACTGGACTATCCCCCTGTCTCCGTCCCAAGCATTCCGCAGATGAAGCTCGATACCGCCTTCCAGATTGCCCAGAACGGCAGCGAGCACCCGCTTGCAATCCGTATTATTGGCTTGACCCCAGGATCCGCCCACTAAGGCCAGCATAATTAGCTGTAAAGTCGTCGACATATCTGGAGTTACTGAACCCCCAGTCGACCGAGATTGTGCGGCCAACAATGGGACGTGGGAGTCGAGGGAGTAGGCCAGTTGACATCCTGTTTCCTGCTGTTTGTCTAGTGTCAGCACCTTTGACACTCTGGGGGCGAGTGCGCCGGCTGCTACCCCCAATTATTGGCAAGTGTCCGCGGTTTGTTGACAATAGCGGTTAGCCACTTGGCTCCGTGACTATTGGTGGTCTGACAGAGCAGATATCCTCAGTCGCCTCGGAAAAACTGTTGGGAATGGCACATTTTAGTGAACAAGAAGCTATTTCCGAAGATATGCATATATCTTGAGGCCGAGACTCTTCAGTTGCTAGTATAAATTAAAGTTTTCCTACCAAGATCCGTGCTTTAATATCTACGTATTTCTATCTTCCAGCAGATCCTTTGGAGCATAATGGACGCAAGCGAAAGATGAGGAATCGGAGTTTCGAGGCCACAAAACAGAGGCACACCACTTTCAGACCAAACCCCAGCGTTTCGGAAAACGAGGACCAGACGGAGCAGGATGAATCCGAGGAGGAGGAGCCGGATGAAAACAGCATCCACGCTGATGACACCTCCAGCACCGCTTCCATGACATCAATGGAGGCGCAACTATCCCAGGCGCCCAGCACTTCCAGCTCGTATCCCTTCCCGCTCGGAACGGAGCCAGAGGCCAATAACAACAGCCAACTGACTTCCAACCAGAACCACAAGACCGTCAATGGCTTGATTCCGGATGTCTGCAACACGGAGTCCACCGCATCTACATCTTCGTCCATGTAGGTCCATTTGTCCACCGGGCACTGCATACATATACTAGCAATTAAATATTAGTCCTAAATCGGGAGCTATTTCGAACCGAAATAGCAGATCCCTCTCAAATTGTCAAATCCCTTCAAGAGCGATGCTTTGTAAAGATTTTTGATAAATACAGAAACCATTGTGTGTGATTTGGAAAATGCATTTACAGAAAGATGTGGAAGCTCCTGATTCAGAAGGTCCTGAATCGAACGTAATTTTAATATTTATTTTGGAAGAAGATTAGTCTTCTCGTCAACCTACTTTTCTGTAACTGGGAATTGTCTAAAAAACAGGGACTTGGCCCATAGAAAGTTACTTAATTAATTATAGAGAATAGGTTTACCTTTAAGTCTAAGTTATACAAAATACATATTCTTTTTGTTGCTCTTCATTTATTGGTTGGACGCGTAATTTCTACAATAAGTTATGAATATATTAAATAATCGCCTTCAAACACTAGCCGAACTTGTGCGTTACGGGGGCGGGAACTTTGAACATTTTTTGAAACTAACATAAATGCAAAAAGTTACACACTTAAAAAACAATTTAACTGCGAATGGTTTACTTTGTGCCTAACCCTAAGGAATTAATGGAGAATCAGCTACAGCTACTGCTATAAAGTGGCACAGTCGGTGATCGTCGGGGATCAGCAGACTGCGTTCATATCGCTGGGCCTGAACGGCAGGTGCATGTCCCGACAGCGGTCCATTACGAAACGCTCTAATTGACAGCCAGCACTGTGGAAAGAAAGGGATTAGCAACCACGTCGAATGCTCCCACTCCTGCCCAGATACTCACTCGTATATCTCGTTCCCTTCGACATTGTAGAGATCGCAGTTCCGGAACACCAATTGAATGTCGTTGAGCAGCTCCTCGTTCAGCTGATACTTTCCCATGTTCAACTTGGACTTGATTTTGGCCAGGTCCATCGGCGCCTTGATGATCTGGTGGTAGTCCGGCACTTCCGACGTCAGCACGGGGCGAAGGAACGGCCAGGCGGCCTTGTGTTTCATCACCTGCTCGAGGAGATCGTACAGCGCAGCGCTGTTCAGCGGCAGATTCTCGTTAGTTCTCCGTCCGCTCCGACGATGGTTGTTATTGTTGGTACTGTTGTTGTTGTTGTTCCTGGCGCCGTTGCTCTGGCGGGACGTGGACTTGTCCACGGACATGCGCAGCGAGTTGCGGGATGAACGAGAACGTTTGGCTTGAGGTTCATCTTGGTCGTCGTCGTCGTCCCCATCGCCGTTCACTAGACAAAGATCGTTGTGATTAGGACTAGTACTATGTCAGGTCCGGATTTAGCCCGGAGGATTACCGGAATATTTCTGTACTTACTGTGACTATGCCTTCTCCTGGGGCGCTGCGATTCGGAGCTCTTGCACGCTTTGCAAACAAACTCCGTGCGCGGCGGTCGCTTCAGATGGACGCACTCGAGGTGGTAGTACAGGCTGCACCGGGCACACCGGATCTCACTGCCGTCGTAGAAGCACCTCTGACACACCTTCTCATTGTCCCTGTAAGTTAAATGTCAGTAAAGCTATCCACTTAGAATTGAGCTCATACTTACTCCTCTTCTCCGGCGTCATCCTCCGTCAGGGTGTCCTCCTCGAGCTCGCTTTCAGTGTCTTCTTCGACGGTTTCTTCAATCTCCTTCGTCAAGAGCCGCTTTCCTCTGGGGCGGGTGGCCAATCTGGTTGCACGGCCACTGACTTTTACCACAGACCGAGCCGATCGGAGGGAGCCCTCGCTTTGGTCGCCCCGCGACTCGGTCTCAGCCGCTTCATCGTCCTCGTCCTCCTCCTCCTGTTCCTCGGGCTCATCGTCTGGATCTCCGTCCTCCTCCTCGGTATCCCCTTCCTCCTGCACTTCCTCCTCTTCGTTGGCAGTGTCCTCCTCCTCAACAATGAACTTGCGCTTCTTCTTGGCCGCTTGCTTCTTATCCTTTTCGTTGTGGGAGTTCTTCAGGCCCAGGTTCTTCACACAGTCTTTGCAGTACCAATTGCCTTCCGGGACCGTCCGCATCTTGGGTTTCATGCAGAACATATGCGTGCCACCGTTGCACTCATCGCAGAGAAGCATCTTTTCCGGATCACTACCACGACGGCAAACTTTGCACAGGGACTTGTTGGTGGAGCTCCTCCACTGGATGCAGTCATGTAGGAGATTCAGGTGTAGGAACACCTGGGCATAGCTAGTGCTCTCCATCAGAGACACCTCCCACTGTTGCAGCCGTGACTCGCATGCCTGCCTCTGTACCTCGTTCTTGGGATCCCACTTCTTCATCCCGTACGGCTCCTTGAAGAACCTCCTTCCAATAGCCTGTTCCACTTGCAGAAGAGCCGCCGCCATGTTGCGGACCTGACTTGGAGCAGTTTCGATTTCCGCTGGGTCCGTTTCCACTTCCAGGTCTTCCTTTCCGATCCTTCTATCTTCGTGCGGAGAGCCATCTCCATCCTGTGCAACCAGATACTGGCCTGGGTCGCGATAAGGTTTTGTGGCATATTTGGACGCGGGCGCCGCATCATCATCGTCCTCTTCAGGGTCCCCATGAGACTCTTGATCCTCTGAGCCGTTGGCCACCTCATCGTCCAGCACGCCTCCTATTCCCCACTGCAGCTTTCCCTGTGGATCGTAGTTGCCACTCAAAAGGTCGTTTCGCCACTTTTCCATATCCTTGACCTTGAGCCGCCCCAGGTCACCGGTGTAGATGTCAGTTTCGAATTTGATTATTCGGTCCACCAGGTGCGAGTGCATCACCTCGTTGAGATCGGTCCCGTCCGCGAGTCCAAAGTTCGCATCTCCGTATTTTCGATGCGTTTCAGAGTGCATGGTGCTGGTGAACTTCCTCCGGCTAATCTCATTATCGAGGGTCAGAACCTCCGTGGGGCAGGACTTGGCGTGCTGTTCAATCAGACCGCGCAGGCTGGAGAGTTCTTGGAGCAGCTCGGACTCCCGAAAACCTTGCGGATTCAGCGAATCAATGAGCTCGTCAATCTCCTCCGACTTGTAGATGTAGGACCAGCGCTGCCTTTGCCCATTTGCGGGATCATGGACGATGCAGTTCCTACTGTCTCCGCTGCACATCATTAGCTCGAACTGAGTCGGAATCTCTGGAGGGTCCGATTCAACTTCCATCGGCTCAGTGGTTCCGTTCACGCGGTGCTCCTGGTTTTCCTTGTTCTCCATCGACTGCTTGGCGCTCCTTCTCGATTTCTTTTCGTCCTCGCCGTACAACTTTAACAGATACATCCTCAGATCTTTGCGGTTCTTAGGCAACTGAGCTTGCTGCCGGATCTCCGAGGGAGATTTGTTCAGGGGTGGGTGCTCCAAGCAGGTGTCCATGCTGTCCGGGGAGTGTTCCACAAAAATGCCGGGCATAGATTCCAGGACGTAGTACTTTCGGTAGCACCTATCCATGCCGAGATAGACCAAGAAGTTGAAGAGCTGCGAGTGCAACTGGTTAACCTGCTGCAGGTGCTTCCGGTGCAGATGGTCGGATTGGGCGTGCAGCTCCGCTATGCTCTTGTTCATTTTTTCCACCACTTCCTGCTTCTTGTCCGGCTCTGCGGCAGAAATCAATGGCTGGTGCGTCTGGGTTATCTTCTTCCGGCTGATTTCCACGGCAGCTAGTCTTTTGTTTTCCCCGGCAAGTAGATTGCGCAGCTCCTGCCTTGCCTTCGCCGTCTGCTCCATGCGCTCCTCGATTAAATTTATCGTTCCGGAGTACGTCAGAATCTGGCTCATGAGGCACCGGATCAGCTCCATTATATCCCCAAACTTAAGCTTGTATATCGGGTGGTTCTTTAAGCTGCGAAGAATGCGCGAGTGCCTCAAGCGCAACTCCAGTCCCGGATCCTCCTTCGAAGAGTAGCCATTCCGGTACATAACCCTCCAGCGCTCCGTCTTCTCGTTGACCAGGGCTCCAGAGGACAGCAGGTGAAGTCGCAGCACTTCGCTCAGGGTCAGAGCATCGAGAGGCAGTTCGTTTATCTTCAAAGATACAACATTATAAGAGTTACTAAGAGTTACCAACACTCACCAAGTACTAGTCCGATACTAACAAGTTACTCCCTTTACGTTTTCCTCAACCTTCTCTTCCAACTTTGTCCCAACCAATACCTCTCCCAAACCATTTTTATTGGAGACTTAATATTTTTCAGATTTGTTGTCCATTTTTTGGGGTGCTTCCTCCGAAAATGCATGGTAGGGACTATATGGGGCACGCCGAAGGCTGTATCTTGGCCAAAAATCACCCGATTCTACAGCGGAATAGCTTAAATGATTCCTAGATCGATTCTCCATCAATCTACATCAAAATCTAGCAATCAAATTTTTTTTTAAATTTTTCGTCCATTTTTTGGGGTGCCCCCTCCGGAATCGCATGAAAGGGACTATAGGGGCCACGCCGAAGGCTCTATCTTGGCCAAAAGTCACCCGATTCTACAGCGGAATAGCTTAAATGATTCCTAGATCGATTCTGCATCAATCTACATCAAAATCTAGTAATCAAATATTTTTTAGATTTTTCGTCCACTTTTTGGGGTGCCCCCTCTGGAATCGCATGGGAATCGTTATATGGGCCACGCCGAAGGCTGTATCTTGGCCAAAAGTCACCCGATTCTACAGCGGAATAGCTTAAATGATTCCTAGATCGATTCTCCACCAATCTCCATTAAAATCCAGACACAAAATATTTTTTTGATTTTTTGTCCATTTTTTGGGGGGCTTCCTCCGAAAATGCATGGAAGGGACTATATGGGCCACGCCGAAAGCTGTATCTTGGCCAATAGTCACCCGATTCTACAGCGGAATAGCTTAAATGATTCCTAGATCGATTCTCCACCAATCTACATCAAAATCTAGCAACAAAATATTTTTTAGATTTTTCGTCCATTTTTTGGGGTGCCCCCTCCGGAATCGCATGGGAATCGCTATATGGGCCACGCCGAAGGCTGTATCTTGGCCAAAAGTCACCCGATTCTACAGCGGAATGGCTTAAATCATTCCTAGATCGATTCGCCACCAATCTCTATCAAAATCTAGCAACAAAATATTTTTTAGCTTTTTTGGCCATTTTTTGAGGGGCTTCCTCCGAAAATGCATGGAAGGGACTATATGGGCCACGCCAAAGGCTGTATCTTGGCCGATATTCACCCGATTCTACAGCTCAAATTCATTTATCTATTTCATGTAACAGCAGTATGTAGTAATAGTACTAGTATGGCAATTTTAAGTACAAACTAAATATAAGGAACTCAGTTCTTACCTTGAAGGAAAAGTGTCTCTCGGAGTAGTAGTGGCAAAGTGTACCTAGAGACATGCTGCGGTAGGGCTCCTCCATTTGCTGGGGCGCCACTCTGCCTTTTAGGTACTTAACGGCGCACTCCTCCTCCTCCTCCTTTTGTAGATCGAAAACTGTGCCGAGGAGCACCAAAATGATGTCAGACAGGGGACCAGCTATTTCGCGAGCACTCAACGCCCGGGACATTTCATAGAAGCTAAGATTCTGGCGGAACACCTCTATACCAGACAGGAGTCCTGTGTAGGTGTGCATGAACTCGCGCATCATGAAGGCATCGCCCAGCAGGCGCTCCGGAAGAAAAGTAACTACCGGCTTGTACCGCGGCAACACCTTTTGATCGGATCTATCGAGGTCGTCCGTCTTTTGGAGGAAGGAGTTGCATTCCGTCTCTACGCGTTCCATCAACTGAGCCTTCTTCTCGGCCTTCTTCTGCTCCAACTCCGCCAACCTAGCCTGTTTCTCTAGCCGCACGCGCTCCATTTCCTCCGCCAGGGACTTGGCGTCCGCCTTGGCCTTTGCCTTGGACTTGGCGGCGGTAACCTCATCGGCAACAATGAACTTGTTGAGGGTGGATTGCTTTTTGGCATCCTTGACGTCGGGCTTCTTGATTTTTGAGGGCGAGTACCGTGGCATCTTGCCGATGAAAATGCTGGAGAAGCTCACCCCAGGATCCGTAACGTACTGCTTGTAAGCCTCTGGTTTTGGCCGCAGGATACCGTCCACTCGGGTCACGTTACTTTTAATGAACATATTTAAGTTCTCCATATTGAATTCCATGCGCTGGCGGCGCAGTTGTCCGAATGGGACTGTAATCTCTGTACTGGAGTCGGCACCACCCTTGACCGGGCGCAGGCGGTACTCCAGGTTATCGGTGTCCTCATAGACACCATTACTCGGCTCCGGCATACTCGTTCCAGGCTTAACGCCCAGCACAGTATATTGAGTGTTCTTCTTGCCCACGACAGACACCTGCTCGCCGACGAAGTAGCGCTTTCGCAAAAACTTTGCCACCAGCAAGTTGAGGGTCTGTTTCGCCGACTGGCGGGCGTGCTCCACCACGAGCAGCACTGGGGCCCTGAGACTCTGCTTGAACTGCTCCATCTTTTTGCGAGCTGCCCGCTCGCTCTTCACGGCCTCTTCATAGGTAAGGTTGTCCTTTCTAGTGGCCTCGCACTGCCACACCGTGGAGTTGATTACCATCACATGCCGGAAGTACTCCCTGCAAAGGTACATGTCACAGTATATTGATAGGTGTGAAGCGGCCCAGGGCATAACATAATAATTTTGAATTTCGCGCGCTTCTTAGACGGGCCCGCCAGGGGGCGCTGCACGAGCAGCTGGCCCGGCGGCAGCTGAGAATTCTTCGCGCGCTTTGCCTAGCGTTGTTTGTTGTTGCGTTCGTGCGCTAGTTCCCGAGGTACATACGTACATCCAGGTGACCAGACGTACATCGGTACATCAAATCCATGCTGGGCTTAGCTGCATAATCTTTCTTTTCGGCATTGCCGAAACCAGAGAAGAATGAAAGAAATTCGAAGGACTGTGGACGTTAACGGGATGAACTTACTCATAGTCCCGGAAAATCCGCTTAGTTATGTAGCAGCAGAATACCAGGTCGTTGTCATGGAATGTTTCGTTTTTGCCCTCCTTTTGGTCGAAACCCTCTCGTTTGCAAATCGGCATGTTTACTATTTTTTTCTGCTGTTTCAGAACCAAACTATTGTAGTTTTTTGGGAAACCTTCCGAAGTCGTTGGCACGCTTCCCGCGAAAGCCAACAACAATTTTCACGACGCCAAGCACGACAATCGCAAAAGGCGCCCAATATATTTTTGCCTTTTAGCAAGGCTTTCGAGACAAACGGTTTTCTTGACGATTAGCGCGTTGCGGTCCAGCGCACATATACACGCAATTGAACAACGACAGTTTCACAGCACTTTCCGTATAATTTGTGGCTCGATTCAACGACATAAGATCCCGATTCGTTTGTTTTACAGCCCGCCTCGCGAATATCTTTCCTTTGCTTTGGCATATGCACACAGTGTGACCGCATTAGCGTATGGTCGAAATCCGCAAATAAACGCTGGAAAATATTCAACCAACGGGTAAGATAACAAACTATTTTGAAATACTTTGTACTTTGAATTTTGAAATTAAATCCAAGAAGACAAGACTCCTTTAAAGAAACCCACAGAATTAAATATTCGCCAGATTCCAGTTATAACAATATCAAGGTTTCGTAAACTTTACAGTAGATATATATATTTTTTTTATAGGGTTTATGTTTTCTTGATATAGATATTGGTACTGGCAATAGACATTAAGTGTCCTTTTTTCAAAAACAAATTTTAAAAACCAATATCACCAAGACCCATTGCGCTGATCCCAGATTCGCGTATGGTCATATTGACAGTGCGTTGCAAGGCCGGTCACACTGCACGTCTGCTACCGACGCAAAGCGAGAGAAAGAAACAACCAAAAAGTTTGCGGAACAGTGCAGCCAGCCAGGAACTAATTGCTCCACTATGTCCCGTGGGCATAGGTGATCGCAGGAGTCGGAAAATGCAATGCTGCTACCTTTGACGGCGATATCGACGACAGGAAACGAGCTACGAGGTAAAGCGAGCGCACGCTCTTATTTTCTGGTCTTCCTCTTTCGCAGCACAGCAGCAGCAACAACAACAAGAAGAACGGCGACGTTTTTCTGTGGCGAAAACTGTACGCGAGGGGAAATCAGTAAGAGGAAAAGTGCAGAAAAACACTCACATGTAATATGCAGTGCCAATTTTTATGTATTCTTTCCGTTGTACTTGTCAGATAATTGCAGTTTGTTTTTGCGTGTGTGTGTGTGTGCGGGAAAACGTGTGTCCAGGAAAAACGCGCCAACGAACACGCAGCGCAGCCCTAGTGCCTCCAACCACTAACACCACAACCACCACCACCCTACGCCGCGATCACGCGCCCCCCTCCACTCCATAGGAATGATAATGGTGCGCAGACGCGCTCGTCCCGCCAAGGAGACTCCTACTGGCGGCTCCGTTGGCGGAGGATCAGCAGTGCCGGGCGCTATTCCCCTCAATGCAGCCGCCGCAGTGGCCGGAAACTTGCTAGAAGATCAGTATTTTGCCAGTCCAAAACGAAAAGACTGCCGCCTGATGAAGGCCAGTGAAAATCTCGGCCTGCCGGAAGACGACAAAGGCCAGCAGCATCACCACAAAGAGAACAGCAAGGCAGACAACAGCAAAACCATAGGTGAGGGGGCTCGGCATGGGTTCCTGCCCACTTTTGAGGTTAGCTCTATATCTACTTATTCTTCTGGTTTTTGTTTCAGGAGTGCCGCTGGCTACTCGCTCCCAGACGCGCACCATTGAGAACTTTTTCAAAGCCAATGCTGCCACTAAGAACGCTATGAAGAAGTCATCTCCACCGCCTTTGAGCGAAGACCAAAAGACAATACCACATACAGGATTCCAAGAAGAACATCGGTTGGTGGAGGCGGACGAGGAGTTGAAATTGGCGGACGAGGAGTTGCAGCAGGTTGTGGAAGAACTGCTCTTCGACGGCGGCTCCTCCAACTCGTCGAACTCGCCATGCTATCAGCACGATGACACTGATCAAATGCCAGAAATCAAAGACATCCCTCAAATACATGAGATGCAGGAGGTCCTGGGAGCCATTGGCGATTTCCAGACACATCGCTCTGCTCTGCGTGACAGCCACAGCTCCACCCACAGCAGCAGCACGGACAACATATTTCTGCAGGAGCCCGTTCTGACTCTGGACATCGATCGCACGCCCACCAAAGCCTCTAGCATTAAGATCAACCGGAGCTTCGAGCTGGCAGGAGCTGCTTTGTTCTCCTCCCCGCCGTCTGTTTTAAACTCGTGCGTTCTTAACGGACGCTTCAATCAGGTCGTTAGCCTGAATGGACAAAGGGAGCCGCTGTTGCCAGAGCTAGACCAGCACGACAGCAGCTCGTGCGACAGCGGAGTGGCCTGCAGTCTCACCGCCGCCACCGAATCCCCTGCGGCAGGTGGAGTTCGTCGCAGAAAGCCAGCTACCCCACACCGCATACTGTGTCCCTCGCCAATAAAAACAGGATTGAAGATCACAGGAGGTTTAAGCAAGGGTGGAACTGCTGATAATTTGCTCTCCCCCCGTAAATCGCCTCGCAAACTGCCCGTTACTACGGCGGCAGTCGCCGCCTGCAAGTCGCGCCGAAGACTGAACCAGCCAAAGCCGCAAGCGCCTTACCAGCCAAAACCACAGTTGTCGCAGACACCACCGTCTCACGAGCTGCAGAAGCAATCGGACATGGGAGATGACATTGTGGTCGTCCTAGACGACGACGACGAGGACGAAGACGACGTAAATGCCTTGTTGAAAGCCGCCGAGGAGCGGGAGAACCAGAACAAAGTACCAGAGACAGCCAAACCAGGCGCCAAAGCCATGCTCAAGCCGGCGGTCCCTGTCAAGCCCAAAGCCAAGAGTAAGGGTCTGTCGAAGAACCAACACCCACTGCCTTTAGCCGCTACCAATGGCAACCGTGAGATGACCGACTTCTTCCCGGTCCGCCGATCCGTACGTAAAACCAAAACAGTCGTCAAGGAGGAGTGGATGCGCGGTCTGGAACAGGCGGTGCTGGAAGAGCGCTGCGAAGGCCTCCAGGTGCGGCACTTCATGGGCAAGGGGCGGGGTGTTGTGGCCGACCGCCCCTTCAAGCGGAACGAGTTTGTGGTGGAGTATGTGGGTGATCTCATATCCATCACAGAGGCCTCGGAGCGGGAGAAGCGCTATGCGCTGGACGAGAACGCTGGCTGCTACATGTACTACTTTAAGCACAAGAACCAGCAGTACTGCATCGATGCCACCGTCGACACTGGGAAGCTGGGACGCCTTATCAACCACTCGCGTGCCGGCAACCTTATGACCAAGGTGGTGGTGATCAAGCAGCGGCCTCACTTGGTGCTCCTGGCGAAGGACGACATCGAACCCGGCGAGGAGTTGACGTACGACTATGGAGATCGCTCCAAGGAGTCGCTGCTGCATCATCCCTGGCTCGCCTTCTGAGGAAGACACCAGGCTGGCTGGGATCTGGCACAGTCTCGAGGCGAAGACTTTGCAACATGAAGAGTAGGATCGAGAGTCTATGGGATCTTCGAGGGCCGAACTGGTTTTGACTCATAATAGCTCCCTAGATATTGATAGATCCTTCGTTCATGCCCAATGCAAATAGTTTTCGCCATCTCTGGCCTTTACTGAACAATCTTGGAGGAAGCTTTCATCTAGAAATTCTAAAAGAATAGTTCTTCAAACATAATTCAACTCTGCACTCTTCCCCAAGGTTGTTCGGTAAAACAGAAAGCCATGTCGAGAAAGTCGAGACCTGATTCCTGGTCATCCCCGGTTCGTCCTTGAGAGAAAAGTATAAAAACTGTTAGTTCAAAATATCACGGATAGCGACAGCCCCCCACAGAACCCGCACAACACCAGGGTGACCTGCAGAACTGGAAAATCTCGGGACCATTTGAAAAGACCATCATCAATTCATCAATCTTTAGGATCTAATTTTTTGTGCATGTTATTAGTTGCGTTGAAACATAAGCGTCCGAGACCTTCCAGACAGATCGCCCTGACACTCACCCCTGCCACATGAGCATATTTTTTGGATTTGTTAGCGTTTCATTATTTTAGAGCAAGGCTAAACTTAAGGATGATAATAATTATAACTAAACAACGCGCCTACGCATAAGAACGAATGTATAAGAAAACTGTTGACCACTTAGAGGAAGATATGGATATGGATGTTGATGAAGACACACATTTCACATTGCATTCACATTGACAAAGATCGATCGAGCCCTATTTATATAGATATTTATATTAGATACATGTGTAATTTCTAACTATTACTATTACTGCCATAGAGCTATACGCCCCTAGCCCTAGCCCCTAGCCCCTAGCCCTCGCACCATGCCCCCTAGCAGTCGGCACCGAATCGTTGACTCAAATCCTACCCGGAAGGACCCCCCAAACGCACGCAGATAGTGCTTCGACATGCAGAGTAATCTCCGTAGATGCACGCAGGTTTCAATAACAGATCCCACACGGCTGAGACGCATTTGTGACCCCCGCTATTTATGTATTTCAATTAATGCTCCAATAATGAGAATCATTTTCAAGTAGGTTTATTTTAATCGCGCATATCTTTAGTTATACATACATATGGTAAACACATATTTTATTTCTATAACATAGTCAATTCGTTTATTAAAACTCCAAATCAAGCCCGTTTACAAACAAGGTCTTGTTTTCCTTTTTTCTCCGTAACGAAAAAAAAAACAAAAAACAAATGGAAATCTATTTGTAATTTACATTTAGTCTAAAACATATGATTACATCAAAACACTTAGCTTTAGTTGATAATTGTTTATACTTCCGTATTCACACAGACACGCCACACGCCGAGACATTTAACTTAAAAAGCGTACATAAAATAAATAAATAAATCAGACACATTAACACGAAAAGGAAACTCTGTTAAGAACTGGAGCTGGATGGGTTCGGATTCGCGGCGATTCTCCGGAGAACGCGCTTGCACTACTCATTCACACATGCACACCTGGAATGCACCTGACTACCTCTAGGACTACGACGAACTAAGATACATTTACATAGTTAACTATTCTGGGTTAGTTTCTTTAGTAAGTACATACACTCTTTAGAAAAGTTCGCATCAGGCGGGTTAGTGTCTCCCTCAAAGTGGTGGCCCGCTTTCGCTTCGGAGTATTTTCATTCTGATTGGGGACACTACTTCCTCGGGGAGTTCTGGGGATGCCACTTCTGGCTCAACTACTTGATGCTGGTTATGTGGATTGTGGACCACAGACGGTATAAAAGCTCTCTAAAAGAAAACTAAGCGTACTAAGATGAAGAAAGCTATCTGGGGTGGATCAGTTTCGAATTTTGGGGCTTATATAGGCTTTGGTTGGTAACTTCCCAGGCCTGGGATTACAGATCATTGAAGTACCTTTAACACAATATAGCCCGAAAAAGCCCTAATATACATAGGATCGGTTAGAATAAAGGATTATCCAAAAACATAACATGGGGAGCTAATAAAAAATAAAATGTTTAATTCGTAGCTTGCTTTTTGACGGATTTGTTTAACAATTATAAAATATAGCTCGATTCAAATATTGCACCAAGTCTTGGCTGCCTTCTAGTTTTTAAGCCAATATCTAAACAACAACATGCACACCAACAACAACGATGTCATAAAATTCAACAACAACAACATGAAACACAGCTTGCAGCAAACTACGCGTGTTCTCTATATGTGACGGTTTTACGGTAATATCAGACGGATTCATAATACTGACTGTCGCCCATGACCCAACGCCCTAAACTCCCGCCCTATGTGAGAACGGGAGCCTCGCCGCCCCCTCCTCCACCGCCCAGGAGACGTGATCCACCTGCAAGCTGGTGCTTCTTCTTGTGTCATTTCTTCCCGCCTCCCCCGAAACTCGGCTTCGGCAGCACGCCCATGAACGCGCCGGCATTTGTGGGCAGGGCCGGGGCCACGAAACTGAGATCGGGTATCAGCGAGATCCGAGGGGCCACCTTCGCGTTGCCGATCTGGAACTGCTGGCGCTGGTGCTGCTGCTGGTAGGTGATCCCAGTGGCCGCCAAGTTGCCGGAAACAGGTGCCGTGGAGAAGTCATGCATGATGTGGATCTGCTGGGGCAGCGACGGCGTACAATTGTTGTTGTTGTTGTTCCTCGCCGGGATCAGGTTGCTGTGGTGCTGTTGCTGCTGCTGGTACAGGCTCAGAGGGTTGTTGTAGAAGTTGGCGCTCTGCCATGCCCCGGAGTTGAACTGAGGTGCGGGAGGAGCAGGCAAGGTGCTGCTTACGAAATCGGACCACTCGTCCTCCTTGGGGGCTGATTTGGTTGATGAGATCACGCTGCTAAAATTGTTGTTGTTGCTCGGAGGAGCAGGAGCAGCCGGGGCAGGAACTGGGACGGACACGAAGTCCGACCACTCGTCTTCTTCCTGATGGGAAACGATGGTGCTGTTACTGGGTGCCGGTACCGGATCCTGGCTTACAGTTGGAGGTTGTTGAGTTTGGGCCGGGGGCTTAGGCTTCTTCGCCACCGAGGCGCTGATGGTCGGGGTCTTGGATTGGTTAGAAAATAGCTCCTCTATCCGAGCCATCTCCTCCGCGTTTATGCTGGCCAAGGAATTGTCGCCCCACTCGATAGAGGTAGCTGCGGCTGTTTTCTTGGCCAACGGAATGGCTTGGGGCAGCAGGATGGCAGGACTGAGAATCATTTGTTCCCCGAAAGTGGGTGCCTCCAGCTTCGACTTGGGGGCCGGCATCGATTGAAAGTCACTGAAGTCGTCGTCCTCTGGCTTCTGGTCGGGAGGGGGCAACTCAAAAGTGGCAGGGACTTTGCTGGGCGAATCCAAACTAAACGGAGGCTTGTACTCCACATCGCGGTACTCCTTCTTCACCACCGTCTCGTCGATCTTGATGCCCGTGGCGGCCATCTCGTAGTCAAAGTCAATGGGCGCCATGGTGGTCTTGGCCACTGCAGTGTCCGACTTCGAGGGAGTGTAGATGTGGGTCTCCTTCAGCGGCACGGCGTAGCTGGCCACCGAGCCGCCCATGATCTCCTCCGGCAAGGGTGAGCTAGTGGCTCTCAAATTAAGCTGCTCCGACTCCGGCTGCTGCTGATGCAGCTGCTCACCACCGTTGAGCTGGTGGGCAGGGCTGTCTGCTGGTAGAGCAGTCGGTAGTGCCGCTGTTGTTGCAGCAACAACTGCTGCTGGTGTTGCTGCTGGGGGCTCAGTAGGGTGCTTCGGCTCGCATCCTGCGGCAGGACTCGGCAGGACGCGTTCATCACAGACGGCGAAGCCAGAGGTCGCGCTGTTGAGGGAGAAGGCGTCGGCGGGGAAGCCTTCCCCATGAGACGGGCCAGTCCGCGTTTCAGCTTGGCCCGCTTGGGATGCGCCTGCTGCTGTTTCCAGGCCTGTGCGGAGAGAGGAATGCATAGCTGTTAGAAAGGTGAATTGATACTCCAAAGTCAGCCTAGTTTCTGAAAAACTTCGTATTCTTTTAAATTATTTAAATAGTGAGTTATTTTTGTCCGAATAGTTTCACTGATCTTTTCAGTTTATGACATTAGGAGTACAGATAGTAATAGTTTTGAAAAAAAAGACAGTTTCCAAAGTAAATATTAAGTTTTTGTTTTAGTTATTAGGTGCAATAATGCTTAAAGTAAGTAAAGTAAGCTTTAATTGAATTTCAGAACCCTTTTTGAAACATTTCTCAGCTCTGATAGGCAGCTATAGTACTAAGCTGCGTATCCTTGAGCTCTTGGAAGTGTTGCTATTGGTACTAAGGGTACTCGATCGAGCTAATTAAGATGCAAATGCGGGAAACTAGAGGTTAGTACGCGTAACTCAACTACTTGTGCTGGGGCTGAGAGGTGGCCGGGGTCGGATGCAATGTGCCAAAGAAAGAGGACTGGTGAGGAGTCTGGTGGGTGGGACAGAAAGGGGTATGTGTGTAGAAAAGAATAAGTGGGAGAACCCAAAGCAAACGGAAGCAAACCAAAAAGGTGGAACACACTACACACACGCACAGAGCCAACGAAACTTACTAAATTCCAGCAAGGAGGCGTCGTGAGCAGTGGGGTTAGTGTCAATTGATATAGTTGCAGTAATTGAATGATTGTTAGTACGATTGATATAGTTATTATTGTTGTTGTTGGTTTTGCAGGTGGTTGCAAAATGTGGGGTGGTTGTGGCAGAGTGGTGCAAATCGATTGTCAGTTGGTTTTGTTCGGTTTGATTGTTTTGGGACGTGGAATCCATCACAGGCGGTTTCGGTTTCGGTGATTTGTCATCCAAACGGTGAGCAAACGGAGTGGCAGCAACGACGTCATCGACGCAGGAATTGTTGTTTTTGGTGTGGGAGTTAGAGGTAACAAGATTTATTTTATCAGCATTAGCCACCACCGTTAGTTGGTCTAGTTGTTCCAATTGTAAAGTCTGTACATGTGATTCTAAATACAATTTATCGTAAGGATAAACTTTCGACTGTTTTTTGATAGATATTGAAATATTGGAGTACAGTAGGGTGGGAGGTGTGTGGACAGGCTAACGAAAGATAACCAAAGAAGCAGCCAATCACACGCAGGCCAATCTGGAAAGCGATTTTCAAACTGGGGTAACAAAGTTTCGGGGAAGTACTGAACTAAAAGCATTTCGAACGAAAAGCGGGCGACAGGCGTAGGTGGCAATTTTCGAGGTGGCGGAACTTGTGTGGCTGTTAATTTGCGGAATCAGAGTGGGTAGCGGAGACCCTTACCTGGGAAGCTGGTGGTGGGATTGGAGACAGCGTCCTGCTGCGGGATGGCGTTGGAGGGCGTCAGTGGCTTCAGCGGCTTTAGGGGATCGAAGCTCAGGTTGGCTGCAAAGCGCGGCATTGACGAGTTCCACTTCTCGCCAAAGAGCTAAAAAGATTACAATGGAATACAACACAATGTAGGGCTACAGTCAAGTACAACTCACTATATTTCTTGGATCGATGCCCAGGGATCTCACGAGGGCGTGTCTCATCTCCGAGCTGCTCCACTGGTAGTCAAGCGCCCTGGCCTGCTCAATGGCACCGAAATTGAACCGCTGGCACTGTCCTAGGGGTCTTTGGTGGTCTGTGCTGGGTTTTTCTTGAACTCCAGCATTGTCCCTGGGAAACATGGAATCCAGCACGGGCTTCACCCGCTCATTGATACTAAGGTGCACTGCTGCTGGCGGCGGGGGCGGAGGGACTGAAACTTGACACACAACGGGTTCGGAGAAGTCGCCGAAATCGTCGTCGTCCTCTTCCGCGTTATCCTCGATTTGGTTTTGAGTAGCTGGAATGGCTTGAGTAGGTGGAGGTGGAGGCGACGCCGACGAGGCAAACTCCTGAAAGTCGTCAAAGCCATCATCGGCAGCGTCTTGTGGTAAAATGGTTTGGCTTGGAGGCTCCAGCACAGGAATTTGACTCGGCAAAGATGTAACTGGGGCTGTTAGTGTGAAAGGAGCTTGAGGTTCCCCATTGGAGAAGTCTGCGAAATCCACAAAGTCGTCGAAGTCGTTGTCTGCTTCCGCATCCGCTCCTGGATTTATCTGCTGCAATGGCACTTCTTTTGAATCCACTTGAAAGTCCGAGAAGTGAAAGAGCGTAGAATCGGCGGTTTTTTCTGGCTGTCTTTGCGCTTCTTTGCTAATATCATCCCACTCGCTTATCCCCGTAGTCCCGTTTGGAGTATCCACAACTCCAGAAACACTCCTCTCGGCGTCCTCGGAACTCTTTTTGGAGGGGTGCTCCTTGGGCTCTCCATTTGAAAGCTCACATGTGGGCACTACTTCAATGGCAAAGAAATCCTCGGCTCCCTCGCGTATAAATAATTCTTTGGGCTTCTTTGGGGAGCACTCCTCGTCGCTGTCATCGGTAACATCCTCCAGCGTGACTTGGTGGCTGAGGACATTTGCTTTGGTTTTTGGCATCACTGGATGTACTGCCTCCATCTCTGGTTCCTCATCGACTTGCACTGGCGACAGAGTAGAGGCGGCGGAACCGCTTTCCGTTGAGTATAGACTTAGGCTATCCAGTTTCAACGAGGGAACCTCCTCTTCCAGGTCTAGCTCGGGCTCTGCTTCACACTCCCTTTTCTGATTTTCTTCCTCAGATTCAGAATTAAAAGGTGGAGGCGTGGGTGGCGCCACTTCTCTGTAAACATCGTAGTCGCCAGCCGACTGTTTGACTTGGTAATTGAACGCCTCCACAGCGCTATCTTTTTTCATTCCCTGGAGGTAATCGGGCGGCTTCTCGGGGAACTCGACCACAGAGTCCAGTGACGAAGGTGGCTCTAAAAACAAAGGGAATTCATCGAACCAGAGCAATAAACACAGCAGATTCTGAGCTCACCTTTTGCGTTGCTGACTAAGCCATACTCTGGGAACTCGTCACCGTCTTCGAGAGGCATGGTGGACTGCAAACCGGAATCGTCATCCTCCTCACCAAAGTCGATTGGTGGGGGCGTGCTACACAACAGAGGGGGCACGTTTACCATCTTGGAACCGGAGGCAGCTGAAGATCCTGCTGCTAGTCACTTAAAACTCACTTCCTGTGCGAAAACAGGGATCGGTTCGTTGCACCCCTAACTTTCGACCCTTTGACGTTTTGTATGTATGTATGTGCGGGGCAGGTGTGCCTGTGTCTGTGTTGGCACTCAAGGTCTGTGTTGGAATTTTCTTGTTTGCATTTAACACGCGTCAATTTCAGGAAGGCGTTGATTTCTCAATTCGTCTGTTTTCCGTGATATTAAAATGTCAGGTCCTCTATGGCAACACCCAATTTAGAAAATCCCTTTCCATATTATTGTTTAGATGAAATTATTGTTTTTGCCAAGTTTTTTACCAAAAAAAGTGCCTAGAGATGACACTCTCTCACAGATGGCACTTACTAAAAGGTGGCATCGCGCGATTTTGATATTATTATTTTTAATCGCAATATCCTTTTATTTAAAGTCAAAAATATTCCTTGGAATGTTCTTTTAAATATCACAATCATCACAATTCACAATCACAATTTCAAAGCAAGATCAAGCTTTTGAATAACAACTTTTAACTTTTTTACTGTGAATATTATTTTGCCCATCTGGTAGCGCCCTCGGCTGAGCGACTATCGATAACACAACTTGTCAACTTGATAGCTGATTTAAGGTTATACCTGCGCTGCCGTTTCTGAATTCTGGTAAATTTGCTAATTTGATAACAAATTGTGGTAAAGTATAAATTAAAGAGAAACAGCACTTAAAGGAATCAAGGAGGGAGCCATGTCACTATCAAATTCACTAATGCCCCAGTTTTCCTTGCAGTTCACGGTCGACATTACATAACTATCCTGCGCAAAGATGTCCCAAGCTCCAGTTCGTGTTTCTCCACTGATCAAGTTCGGCAGATGGTCTCTGCTCCTGGTGGGCATTGCCTACGGTGCCGCTCATCAGAGCCGCCTGTCCAAGAAGGAAGAGAAGGTGCGTGAGATCGAGGCCCAGCAGAAGGTTGTCCGTGATGCCAAGTTAGCTGAGGAGAAGAAGCGTAGCGCCGAGGCTGAGGCCCGTGCCTTGGCCGAGCTCTCCAAGCCTACCCCCAAGCATTAGGATCCTTTAGCTTAACAACTACACTAAACCACGCTAAATTTGTCTGAGATGAGAAGGAGGCAGAGGTGCAACCACTGAACAGTAAAACTATCAATCGTTTCTGTGTTTATTGCTCTGATTTTTGTGCAGAATTGTAATGTATGCAATTAAATGATTGAATCCAAACAATATTATGTACATAAGTCTGGCTACCAAACCTAGTCGTTTATTTGTAAGATGTGGACAGCTCAACAGCTGAAATCGACGCTCAAAAGACTTCCCGAAGCTACCGATAGGCTCACACGAAAGACGCCAACAGCTGATCGTGGAGCTCGCTTTTGTTATTGTTTTATTGAATTCACAAATCGCCGAAATCCATACGACTTTGTTTGGTCGATAATCCCCCTGCCTGCTGAACCGGGAAGGTGTTGAAACACCTTTCGAGTAGCCCACCTCACGCGAACTACTTTTAGTTTCTCTGTGCTGCGATGGCGAGCTTTTTGGATCAGCTTCCAGCACGGATCCAGGCTATCGCTGAGGCGGGTAAATGGCTTAACTCCAATGGTTGATTCAACCACCGTCTAACGTAGACTCATTTCAGTTAATGTAACCAAGCCGGAGGACGTGTTAACTACTCCTAAGTGTAAGTTTTTGGACTCGAGACTGCAAAGTCTGGACACTGTGGCAAAACCGTGTTCTCCCGAAGATGTGCGCATACTGAAGGATGCGGCGGCCAAGTGGCTTGCCGAAGTTCCCCAGACAGCGGACTCCTTGTTCAAGCCGCTGGCCAATGTCCGCTGGTCCAGGGTGACTTTTGGTTGCTCCGCCTTGGATCGCTGTACGGGCGGTGGTGTTATGACGCGCGGGATAACGGAGATTTTCGGAGCCTTCGGCGTGGGAAAGACCCAATTGCTGCTGCATCTGGCCTTGGGCGTCCAGCTGCCACGGGAACTCGGGGGACTTGGCAGGGGCGTGGCGTTTATTTGCACGGGGAGTCCTTTCCCGGCGAGGCGTCTGTTTCAGATAAGCAAGATCTGGGAGCGCCGATATCCCAACACAAAGCTCAACTTCCTGGCCAACGTGTTTGTGGAACACCAAAAGGACGCAGTGAGTAAAATAAAAATGAGCACTGAAGAGTTGAAACTATTGAAGATTCCATCCATTAGAAAAGTCTTATGAACTGCGTGAATAACAGGTTGCCGCAGCTGTTCCAGCAGCATGGGATTGGGCTTATCGTCATCGATTCCGTGGCCGCCGTCTTCCGCGAAAACAAGGACTACCTTCAGCGGGCCCGGGAACTTCGTTGCCTGACAAACGCCCTCCTGAGCTATTCCGAAAAGCATAACTGTGCCGTGGTTTGCGTGAACGAAGCAGCCTCGTCCACAACTGGCGAGGAGAAGGCCGCCCTGGGCATGCAGTGGGCCCATCTGGGACGCACCCGGCTGCGGGTTACAAAGGAGCCTAAGCAGCACAAGGTAGGCAATGAGCTGTTTACTGTACGCAGGCTGGAGGTCATGTACTCGCCGGAGACGCCGAACGACTTTGGCCAATTTCTGATCACCTCGGAGGGTGTAGTTGACGTGCCCCAGCCTACTCCGCCGCGCCCACCACCCAAAATTAGATGCATCCGCCAATAGGTTTCATTAAATCAGTTTATTTTGTTGTCGAATTCAAAATGTGTAACCTCGGCGCCTGTTTAGGGTTTACTTTAAGCCGGATTGAAGTATATTTTCTATTTCTATTTTAAAACATAAAATGCTGTTTAGATGATTCTTCGGAGAAAGCGATTAGGAATCGTAACATCTTCTGACCGTTCCCTTCTCAATTTTTGTACAAACCCCAAATACGGTCTAGTTCATTGGTAGTTACAAGGTAGCACAGCTTACATATCTACGTACATAGTCAGAGTCCAAGTTGTAAAATCAATTTTGTGTAACCGCCTCGTATACATTATCACATGAAATTCTCAAAAGTTTCGATTACAATGGTTCATTTATCGTTTAGCATTTTCAATTCGCATATATTTCTTATATTTTCCATTAAATGCGGCATTTACAGAAGCCTAGACTTAGCATAAGTGTTTAATGTTAAATAAATTAAATAAAAGCCTAGAGGTGAACGGATTACGCGATAAATTACAACTAGGTTCTATCCTTAGGGGTAGGGTGTCTTCTCTTAGTAGACGTATTTCCGATTTTTGTGGGTGAGCAATATTCGACTTTTTGGCACAAGTTAATTTGACTGTCTGGGTTTCCAAGATTGTGACCCTCATCAGCTTTCCTCTTCCAGGTCCAAAACCTTCGAAAGACACATCTTAGACCTCTCGCATAGCTGTGTCCCTTGACCGATCTTGCGAGTCTGGCGCCTCTGTGGAACCCCCGTTCTCGCTGGAAGTGTCCTCCTCCTCCAGCTCCTCCTCGTCCCCTTCCTCCGAGGACTCGCTTTCCTGCTTGGGTTTCTCATTGGCAGCCGTCTCCAGTGAGTCCTCCGGCGGCAGCTGGTTGTTGGCCATGGCCAGGGCTATGGATATCTTGCTGGCCGCCAACTTACTCTCGAAGTCCATTTCCGTCAGCTGTCCGGGATTGCAGCCGCCGTTTCGAGCCTCCGCCGCCGCCGCTGCTGCCGCCCGTTGCAGGCTCAGTTGCAGTTCGCGGTGCTGCGGGGACTCCTCCAGCTTGATGTCCAGTTTTTCGGTTTGCTCCAGAGGGGCGGCCGGCTCCACGGTCAGGGGAATGGCGTGCTGGTGCAGGCGCTGGTGCAGCAGATCGCAGTTGTTGTTGCTGTTGCGCTTCTCCACAGCGCCTTTGGGGTCGGCGGAGTCCGCTTCAGTCCGGCTGTGGCTGCCCTGGTTGTGTCCTGCAGCCTTGACGGTCTTCTCGAGCAGCGCGTTCAACTGCTTTTTGACCTTTGTGCTGCTCTGCTTGCCCGGGAGCTTGTTTTCGCCGTTGTTGACATTATTGTTCAGATTATTCACACTGTTGTTGTTATTGTTTCCCCGCCCGGGAGACTTCGGGGACTTCTTGGTCTCCGCCTGCGCGGCGCCTGTGCCGACAGTCGGGGAGGCGGAGGCGGATCCTGCGGTGGAGTTGCTACCTTGGGGCGGCGCCCTCTTGTCACCCTCTGCCCCCGACTTGTTGGCGTTCGAGGACTTGTGCTCCGCGGCCTCGTTGTTCGTCACGTTGTCCTGCTTCTTCCATTTGGTGCGGCGGTTCTGGAACCAGATCTTCACCTGGAAAGAGTCGAGAAAAGGGGGTTCGTCAATGAAATACATTTAAAGGGCGTTTTAGAGACCGATCCAAACAATGGATAATGTTTATGGCTCATTTGGGCATATTAGTGGGAGACGAACAATATTTTTAGAGCCTTGTACCCCCGAATATGAATAGGCAGCCCATTACACTCGCTGTACTTCCGCCCGTCAGTGCTCTGGTAAAAACAGGAGGATGGAATGATGAAATGACAGGCGCACGTCAAGAGGCACCACCCCCAGCACCCCTTCGCCACTCAAGTGGCCGGTGGCGCAACATAAAACATTTGCCTCTCGTTTTCGTTTTCATTTCCATTTCATCCAGAAATGATGGGCCAGCTAAATAAATGAAAAATCTATTTAAATCGCGCACATAATTAGTATTTCAGCGGCCTGTCGGCACACACAGATGCGTACGCTAGGACTCGGATACAGATACAGATACAGATACAAATGCCAAAGATAGATGCGCTGTATGACATGCTCATTTCGCCGGAGTGGCGGAAAAATTATGAAATTAACATGAAAACGGCACGGAGGCGTGCCCACACACTCCTCCCCAGAGCCTCCCTCCCTCTGGGAATGGAAAAATCAAATTCGAAAGAGGAAATGCTCAAGTACATCTGAACAAACACACTCGCACTCGTAGTGGCACAAATGCCATAAATTTTCATATTGAGAATCAATTAATTGATTGCCAAATAGTTTCGATTTACTCGCACATACACCGGACTAGTACCCGGGACTGGCACATTCCGAATGGTTATATACTCACCGACGGATTGATGCGTTCGCAAATTGTTTATTTTATGGATGAAGATGGATTATGAGGGACGGCCGAGGTTTCCTCACGATTATATTTTCGGCCCGGCCTATGCCCTGGTGCTGCAATTGCCTGGTGCCAATTACTCATCCCTCTGCCACCGCTACCGCCACCGCCACCACCTCGGCCACCCCGGAATGTTCATTAGATACGTTCATAAACAATAAAGCACATCCCGTGTTTACCTTATGCACACTCTTAATGGCCCAGTGGTCGGCTGGGCCAAGTGGATGCCTTCCTTTCACCTAATGGCTTTATTTTTATGGCCCCTCCTCGGATGCGGGCCTCATCATCGTCGTATTTAATTGTTGATTACGAGCATTTCTGAGTGTTCTAGCCCCATTCAGACACCCAGGTACTCGCATTCGGATCCAAATGCTGCTGCCAATTTGGTGTGCGATGATCTAATTGATTCTTGGATTTCGAATTATTAATGTTGGGGTGCGCTGCGATTGGTAAATATTGCATAAATCTTCATTAATAATTTATTCTCGCTTCTCGGATGAATCTCTCCACCGAAAATAAACTGCCTTGTTTGTTGTGTTTTGATCCGAGCCCTCCTCATTAAGGCGAAATGTGGAAATGGTTCTAAAAATACCCAGAACTTGTCAAGCGACTCAGGGCCCCCAGCCTCCCCCTAGCTTTCGACCCGGTTATGATTTATTGGCGTTTAAGAGTGTCTGGGTGGCGTGTGGGGTGAAGATGACAGAAACAGAGCGCATTAATATCAGAAAAGCCCACAAAAATGTGAAAATTAAAGTGATTTTATGGTAAACATTACGATTGAAGTCGACTTAATTTTGGGGCTATCACCTAGTAACGCACTAAATGCCATCCTTTCACTGCAGATGGCATTTGCCCACAAACTTTTATGACATGCGTTTCAGCTATTTTGCGACTCTACCCATGTATTTCAATCAACGCCGCGAGATCAGAGAGTCCCAAGATCCCTAAATAGTCTGTCAGTCTAGGCGCGTTTGCAATTCTTCGGCTTGCATCAGCATGGGGCTCTACAATGCCTGTGCTTAGTATAATTAATTTTCACATTTTCCGCGCACTTTTCAAAAATAAACCCAAGAAATTATGTCTGGCCCAACAATGGGCGGCCAAATTAGGATACCCGAGCAGGGGGCAGGGCAGGAGTTCGGACAAACTGCTACTTAGTAATGGCGGCTGCCGCCCATAATTCTGCTGGGTGCCAACAGAAATCCAACGAATCCATTGCTCCGAGCGCCCCGTTTATGTTTTGCGTCTTTACAAATAATGTTTTAATGTGTAATTTAGCATATTTCTGTTTGTTTGTTGATCTTTGTACTCTGCAGGGCAGGCTAATTATCCCCACATTTTAGAAGGCAGAAAAGACGTTGTTTCCGATCCGACCCCATATCCGATCCTCAGCTCCTCAATATTTCTTAATTTCAATCCCCAATATGTATGAAAAACGGAAAATATTTTGAAATAATCGTGAGAAGAGAAAGTAGACCCTCATAATGTGAAAGACGGCATTCCCACTTTTAAGACCTTCGTGTTTACTAACGACTATATTTATCCCTTAGTCTTCCTTGTAACTTTAATCCTGATATTGTTTCAAATGATCAGTATATTTTCCCGCATGGCGGGTAAGATCCAGTGATGGATCATCTCTATGATGGATTGCAGGGAGTTCCGAGCGTTTCACATCTTTTTAGAGCTTTTATCTTTCGTTTTTGTGATTGGGTATATTAAAGTACTGGCAATAGTCCTAATTTTCCAAAAAAAGGGGCAAGATCCTGGCGTTTTGAAACCGATCAAGAAGTTCCGATACTTCGTGTAGGCTTATGTGGGCCAGAAGTCAGTGGAGAATATGTACATATGTGTCAGGAGTATAGTTTCACGAAAATTCGGAGTTTTTTTTTTATATTTTTTATATAGGAAATAGTTCTGAAACAATCAAGGCCCGGAAGGTCAACCTTAGGACATACCCTTCGTTCGGGTATGTTTTGTCATTTTGAGTGTGGAATAGATATAGTTACATGGTTTTGTGATATCATAATCAATTGCTTCTGAGAGTTCTTGTCTTCTTGTCTCAGAATGTCATTTAATTTGTTTTCTTAGAGATAACAGTATATAGTACTGTTTATTTAAATATTTTTAGCTACTTTGTCTTTTTCGAATCTTTTTTTGGGTCTTAAATCAAAAAGTTGCGAAATGTGTAATGTCTGGATACTGCTTAGCAATGCAAGAACCGCACTAAACCCTCCGTAATTATGCATCCACGACCCCCAAATCAAATATAAACAGCCCGAATATCTGGCAAATGCTGCAGACCATCTCAAATTCCCTCTAGCCCACTCCGCCCCGGGTATTCCTGCGATTCCTGTTGTGTAACAAACACTGTGTTTCGTGCAAATAGACGCACTGCAATGCCATTACTAATTAATAACATAATCACTGCATTGCCTGTCATGTCGGATTATGGACGCCCCCACCAGCCCAGTCCCGAAATGGGAGCCAAGTGCAGGGCATCCCAAAAAGGCATACCGATGGGCAAATATTCGGGATAGTATTTAGGATCCCAAATTGCGTTTCAATTGTGGAGCATGTCCATTATTCCGGATGTATCTTGGCATTTATGAGGTATATCATATCTTTTTTGGGAGCTGGATCTCCTGGGTAATGCTTATTCATGCGTTTAAAGTGTTGATTATTAATTAAAGGCACATGTTCCTGGATAAGGGATAGAGAGTAGATTTCTCTAAAGCAGAATGTGGTACATTTGAAAGCTAATACAATCAGGAGCAGGCCATAAATCAGCAGAGATATATCTGCAGGATGCATTCCACCTCGAGAAGGGAGAGCACCTCGATAGGCCGCCAAAGGAAAACCCATTCGAAGCCAAGTGTGAAATTAAAAAATTCAGCGATGAAAATTGGCATTGCGAAAATGGTCTGGCTCATCAAGGGATCAGAACGTAATGTTTTCTCGGAACAGAAATAGACTGAGAGCCAAATGTACGCGTTAATCAACAAAGTGCAGCGGAAAGAAAAATAATAAAGCACATGCCGGGAAAGCAATTTAGATTCTAAGATGCTTTGAATTCAGAAATACTTTGTTAGCCCGAATCTTTCGTTTATTTGCATTAGTATTTTTAGGATTGTGTGATGTGCCTGCGGCTTGGAGAGCATTGTTTCGGGTCCAGAGCAGCATAAATTATGCTTATTAGCCAGACTGGGGGCCAGGTTCAACTTTCAGGTTTGGGAAGAGGCACCTTTCACTTGCCAGAAGATGGCTTTTATTGGCGTATTGTGTTGGCTTTGTTTAGACATCTTTAAAGTGTTGCTGCCATCGCGCTTGTAGCCCGGCCCACTCACATTGGGGACACTTTGTTCTCGGCTGCAGCACGGGCCCATTAATTTCATTCTGGCCGCCCAGAGCTAATTGTCCCGAAAGCGACTCGCCCATAATTGTTCATATTTCATCAAAAGGAGAGCTGTCACCCCGTGGCCTTGCTAATTGGCGAGAAGGGGCCTATTCGGGAAGGGGCCACGTCGGTGCCGCGGCCGATTCCGCAACGCCCACCGACTGCCGAGGCGAAAGCGATCGACGCACGAGTGCGACAGAGACGGGCGAGGCTGTCCGCGAGATCACCCGGCTGGCCCCGCCCTCGTTTGTTTAGATACACTGCGTTCGTCGCCAATGGGGGCAGATGTTGCAGATCCGACAAGTGTTTCTACGCATGATGATGGTCCGGTCCTCTTCCGGCCCTCCCCATAAACGCTTTATTTATTTCCTGACCCTTTTCGGTTGCCAACAACACTAACTGGCACTTGCTGCTTTTAATTATTCGCCCACTTTGTGGTTTGGAAAATATATTGGCCCGAGTTGTAGCTTTTATTTGCAATTTAATCTAAAAGCTCCATGATAATATTTTCAGTTGAATGGCTCTAAGCCCAGTGGGCGTATTTTTGACATTTTCCCATATCTCTGGGCTCCGAATTATTCATGAATTGATTAAATAATTGCCTGCTAATAAAATGCAAATTAGCTCTAATTAGTTAATTAATTGGCCAAAGGCATTCGCTGCTCCGGCCGGGAAAGTGTCGAGAGTCTCTCCGTAGATACGCAACGAATGATTGCATTTGTAATTGGATTAGAACCGAATCGAGCTGCCCGGAAGCTGTTCAGTCTATTTGCCACTGCGAGTGCCATTAAACTATTATTAACTATCGAACGGCAATTAATATTTTTCCGTTTGCGTATAAATTGAAGCGTCAGGCCATAAATAAGCACTTTTAGAATGTAATTGTTGGGATTGCCTTTCGATAATGGCTCTACATTTATTTTATTACCCCCCTTGGGCAGCCATTTTTAATTGTGGAGAGCTTGTGGATGACAGCCCTGGTTGTGGGTCGCAGATCCTGCCCAGCCTGCAACTGATGGATGTCCAGCATGGACAATAATGCAAGACAAGGGCTATAATCTACAATTTTGCGCCACATAATTTTCTGGCTCTTCTGGTGACACAAGCAGCCCCGTGCAACACGGGGCATCTGCAACCAGGCCCTGTCCGGGACACCATTATGCTGTGGTGCCCCCAAAGATGAATTGCCGTTTGATTCGTGTGTGCTGTTTGCGGCAGCAGTTTAATTTAATTATCGCATTTGTCATTGGGCCAACTAGCAGAGAGTCCTCCACGTTGGCCAAAAAGAAACACAAGCCAGTCAGCACAAAAATGGGTCAAAAGAACATGCCATAGGCCTACTTAGATGGTCCAGGAGGCAGGGCAGACTACTCTCGACTTCCAATATGCAATTATATTCCCATCTCAGATCGATCAAAGTTGGCCATAACCACTTCCCATCCGTCCAAAGCACTTTGGAAGTTGGCTCTGTTCGGGAGCCTGCCACGGCGAACATTTAAAACGAAATGCCTAATGCAAATTTGTGGACAGACCGCAGCTAACAGGCCCCCATATCTGGGCAGCACTATTTTGCAGCTGCCTCGTGGCTCCATCCTCCCGCACCAGCCTGCCCCTCGTAGGGATGCGCCACGGGCACTAATATGCAAATGTAATTTGCTGCGTTTGGCGCGTGACGTTCGTTTGGTAATCGCAACACAATTACAATGTTGTCAGCCCGCACGAGAGTGGGTGTGGGGAGTGTGTGTGTGTGAGTGTGTGGGCCGGGTGCCGGGGGCAGGGCGGTGGGGCGGTGTGGCAGTGCAGTGATGCAGCGGCTGCAGTCGGGACAGCCGCATCTACGCGTAATTAATTGATTTTTATCTGGCTTGAGGCTATTTTACAGTTTGTTGATGACAGACGATGCAGACACGCAAGGCCCCTGGATGAGGGCCGCCAAATGGATGGGAGCGGAGTCACCTCCCTGCCACCCCCTGCATGAGGCATGATGCACGATGGACGTCTATTTAAAGCTTTTATGACTTTTACTTTGTCTCTATTCCGTTTGGAATGAATCTTTTTGGCTCGAAGCACCTCGTACAGAAGGAACCGGTTTGGGAGAATTGTCAAAAACTATATTTCTTTAAGATAAGTCTCCATAGTTACTACTGGTTGTAGTGGAATCTATCTGGCCCGAAAATGGTTAAATAGGCTTTCAGTAGTAGTAGGAGCAGTAATTTCATTCCAATTAACTCAAATCTGCAAACCCGATACAGACACTCCCAAACGGCCATGCTTGTTTTGGGCCGCATTCGGTGGCTGTCGATGGGAAAATTGGCAAGTGCCAATGCAAATGACCAAGAGGCTTAATGCCGGCCACAGCAGGATCCGCACAGGAGAGCCTTGTCCTGCAGTTAATTTGCTGATATTATTGCTGTGATTAACACATACATGTTTGTGTGGCACGACCATGTTTTATGTATAAACAGCAACTCACAACAAGCTGCAGGTTTAGTAAATGGCCAGAAATCTGTGCATTGCACTTAAATCGACGTGGGTTTCTCACGCACACAGGCACCCAGGCACACGCACACCCACATGTGTGCATGTCCTTTGCCAGGATGATAAATGGCCGGGCCGAGCTTATAATATTAATAACACAGACAAAACACTTGAACATGTCGACATGCATAACATTCTGGCTCACACAACCAGATGGACGTCATCGAGCAGCTGCACAGGGAGAAAAAGCTGATGATGTCAGGGGCTTTTAAGAGAAAACCGTGTAGAACTAGTCCCCTAACTGGCTGCCAATTTCTCGTAGTGTAAACACGCATATGGAGCAGAGTGCTTAGTGTTTATGTGTACATATCAACTTGTAATTAATTGACTTGATGGAGAATGTAATTTAATTAAGCAAGCATTTCGATGTGACTCCGTCGCTATCCTTGTTGTTGCCATGGCCGATTTGCTCGGCTTTTCTCCTACGTCCCACTCTTGTGTATGTTCAAGGATGCCTCGTCCTCTCTGGAGCGGAGTATGGGTGCCCGTCTGCCTCGGTCTTTGCCATGGCAGCCAATTAGTCTTATGGCATTTGAGCTCCCACACGGCGTATGCGTAACGTGAGATTATTAATGCAAATCGGGTTTGCATTGGCAGCCCCACATTTTGACAGCTTTGAGGGGATTGATGGGGAATCGGGGAGGAAACTGCAGGCAACTCTATTTGATTAGCTCCATTGTTATGTGATTTAATGCAACCAGGTTAACACGTTCCTTATCTTGGCTTTAATAAAACTTTAACTACCGGAATAAAGATTCAACGATATAGACGCATACAGTATATTCGAGCATTTGAAAGCTGGAATGTCAACTGCAAACGCTGATGGGATACGATTCGGTGGTTTCCCAAAATTCCTGTCCGAGACACCAACCGCAGGGCTTTATTTCGGATCTGACATTTCAGACAGACGTTTAAGTTTTCATTAGTTTGGCATTTCTTAAAGAGCAAACACCCCAGTCGGGGGTGTGGGTCGTGTGTACATAAATTGTGTTGTTGCTCCTAATTGGCTGACAGCAGTTGGGCTCTGGGCATGTCCTTGCTGGGAAGTTAATTTATTCTAATTATATACCCTCTCTGAGGGCGCTCTCGAAAGGCGCACATCCCGGCACTCGCCCCTCTCGGAAGTCAATAAATCTCAATTTATTTCACAATCAGGCGATTCGGAACAGACTCGTGTGTTTGCGGCGGAGTGTGAGTTTGCTTATGCCGGGGGCCCTGGCTTGTATGCAAATCGCACACCCCACCCTGGAAACTGGAAACTGCCCCCGTGTTCGGCCAGCTGCTGCAACTGGAACAGTGTACACTTGGCCTAACAATTACCGAGGCATTAGGCAGCATCACACCTTGCGTCCTCTTGTCGGGCGCCACAATTAAATTACGATAAATTTCGGGCCGCCGGGGGCCCTCGGTGGGCAAATAATTGGCGGATTATTCTAATGCAAACAACAGAGCCGAATATTTTATTGTTCCCGTTTAACCCTTTGTTGCAGGCCCCTACCGAGTCACAGATCGAATGTGTATAGCGAAGTATTATTCCCCTTAATAGCTAATTGGGCAGGCAATTGAATATGCGCATTATTCGGGATTAGAGTGTGTGGCAGAAACTAAAAAACAGTTCAATTAATTAAATGGCCACAACCACGGCCGTGCAGTTAGCCTCGGCCAGCAGAATATTTTCAAACAAATAAGCCAAATAATCCCCGGAAAACATAATGTGTTTGCTGTTCAATTTGCAATGCTAAGTACACACGGGAAAAATCAACAAACATATGCCTATTATTCGATTCATTGGGGAAAATATACATGGAAGGTAGACTGCTGGACTGCTGGACTGCTCACCTGAGTTTCCGTCACCATCAACAGCTTGGCCATTTCCGTGCGCTCGCTGGAGCTGAGATACTTCTTCACCTCGAACTGCTTCTCCAGCTCGAAGATCTGGCGGCCCGTGAAGGTGGTGCGGGCCTTCTTCTTCCGCCGGGCGTCGGTGGAGCCCGAGTCGGAGTCGTCCTCGGTGGTCTCCAGAGCACTGTTGGCGCTGCTCGGGTTGGGGTGCTGGTGATTGGCCGCCGCGGGCGAGCTGTTGGTGGCCAGCAGCTTGTCGCGCATGAGGCTGTCGCTGCTGCCGGTGGGGCTTATGTCCGGAGGCTGGGCCACCGCAGCGGCTGCCGCGGGCGACAGCTTCTTCTTTTTGGCGGCCGGCTTGCCGGAGGACTCTGCAAAGAATCGTTGAAAGAGTTAGCACTTTTATGTATGTTTTTAGTAGTTCAAACTAGGTCTAGTGACATTAGTGCCACGGATTTGGTCTTGACGGGGCCAAAACGTGTCTAGCATGAGTCGGAACGGTCGGGTCGTTGTCTGGCCAACTTCGATTGCCAATGCATAATTGAAATCTAATTGACAGTTAAATGCAAAACGTTCTGTCCGGACTCCGGAGCGTACTCGCTGTCGCATTGCTAATACGCCGCGTGGGCCCGACGGCCTCATACGGCCAATCGCGAATGCACGACACTGTGATTAATTAGGCGGGAGGTTGGATGGTTGGATGGCAGGCCAGTTGGATGGCTGTTGTTGTTCCTGCCCTGCTTTTGTAGCTGTCGCCATTGGCAATTGGCAATTTTCACTATCGAACCCCCAGAAACCCCGCGAGAGAAGCGAGGGGCCACTCAGTGAAGTGTAAGGGCGTCCCAGTGGCGCGAAATCAATAAAACTAAATGGAAAAACAGAGGCGGTGGCACAAATAAAACAACAAGCGCTAAAAGCCCAGCAGAGCCGGCCAGTGACGCCAACTTGTGCAATTAGAGCAACAACAATTAAACTTTGAACAAATGTTTGTTTATATTAGCCGTGGCTGCTATTGCCGTCGTTGTTGTTCTTAACGCCAATCGGCAATTGGCAATTGGCATGTCATTTGGGGACTGGAGACCCGGTCGGCGGGCATTTAAATGTCGTTTCGCCAAGCAAACAAACAAATACAACAAGAGCTCCGACTCCATCCAGTACACGATTCGCCGGGACGGGCAGTCCCATTTATGGCAGCTGGAACAAGTAATTAAGCGAAAATTAACTGATGACTGTGTCGGGCAATCGGATGTCTGGAAGTTCGTCATTCAATCGCTTGTACAGTCGTTAGGGTCTCAAGTCGGCTACGTGATTTTAATAACAATAAAGCAAAGCGAACACAACATTGAACAATTAACGCGCCCCGAATCATCCCAATTCAGTTGCCAACTTTGCCCGATTCTGATTCTGACTCTGCTGACGACTGCTTTATTCGCTTTATTGTTTATTGTTATGGCTTGTTGTTGCTGCTGTTGCCGGCCATGTGCATATGGCTAATTGCATTTTGTATATTTTCGTTCCGACCTCATCCGAATTAAATCATTTTAATGCATCGCAGTCGGACTCAAAAGCGAATGCAAATTCGTAAATTCGATTTGGCAGCCATTTCGGTTTCGCAAATGAATAAAAACAACAAAGCATCTAGCCAAAAGTGCATCTAATTAAATTTCGACCACTTCGTGTGCCAATTGCCACTTCAATGGATTACTAATTATTTAAACAAGAGATGAAAACGGCCCACATCATTGGTCTTCCCTCTAAATGAAGAGCTCACAGCATTGTCCTACAAAGACTGTAACCTGCTAATGGCGTCCGAAATCTAGGAAACTGATAGACTGACAGACCAGAGCCCCAACTGGAGTGTGCCGCGTTCTAATGGCCAAGTCATTAGTATTGCCAAAAACAGAGGCCGCGAGCGATGGGCGCCATTTGAGTTGGCAGAACACGCATACGCCGTGTTGCCCGACGCACGCTTCGCTGAAGCGTGTTGAGAGCTCCGCGCTCCGCTCAATTGGCAGGCTCGTCAAGCGTCGCCGCGGGCACTCGGCCTGCCAGATACTTACTCCCGTGCCCGGCGCCATTGGAAATAGATCACATTCGAGCACACTTAAAAAAATAAAAGGCTCCTTTCTTCCACTAGTGAGTAGGGTTTGACTATCCTTAGATATATTATCCATGATACAGGATTTCAGGATATTTCTGAAACATGTTTAAAGCTCAAAACAGGAGCTATCATCTTCCTCCTAATAATATCTTATATTCCCTGAAAGGCTAACCAATATTTTTGTCTGTGCAATGGAGAACGCTTACCCTTCTTGCTGGCGGTCTTCCCGAGGACGTGGCTCTGCTTGCTGGCCGGCATGGGTGAGCTGTTGCTGTCGCGTGACTTTTTGGCCACACACAGATTCAGGGGCTGGTCGAGCGGAGCCGCCACAGCCGGGGCAGATGCCGCTGTCGCAGATGCAGCACTGGGTCCTCCGTCCTCCTCGCTGGCGTCGCTCATCGTGAGCTGCTGATCCTGCTCGTACTGCTTCACGATCGTATTCGGGGACTTGGCCGGCAGCGAGGGATCGAAGGCGCCCTCTGACGCCTCCTTCTCGCCCACGGCTATGCCCAGGATGTCGGCGATGGAGTGTGGGGTGGGGCGGTTGGGCGGCCGGGCGTAGACATGGGCGTGCCAGTTAGTGGGCGCCCCCGGAGGAGTAGAGCTGGTGTGTCGTCGCTGCTGCGGTTGATGAAGCTGCTGGTGGGGGTGTATGTGGGGGGAATTCTGCACCTGGGGGTGCACCGAGCTCGGCCGCGGGCTGACGGCCTCCAGCTGCTTCTGAAGGAAGGTCGTGGCGGGCGGACTGTCAGAGATCGGGCTGGCCAGGGTCGCCTGGGTGTCGCGAACGCGCAGGAGGCTCACCAGCTTCTCCTTGCTGTTGGGACTGACCATGTTCGGGATGGTCAGCGGGCTGCTGTAGACGTACGTGGTGGCGGACATCTTGTAGGGGTCTGGCGTGGGCGTGGGCGTAGGGTGGGGCGTCTGGTAGGGCTGCTGGGGCGGTAGGTGGTGGGGCTGGAGCAAGTGAAGCTGCTGCTGCGGATCCTTCACGAGGCCGTATCCGTGCCCAAGGGCTCCGCTTACCATTTCCGCTGCCAACTGCGAGTCGCGTTCAGTTTCGGGCATCATTTAGGCCAACGCTGCCTGCAAAGTAAGCCAAAAATAGAGAAAGGTCAGTTAAGAAACAGAGTACATAGTTGGCTTTAAAGCTTCCCCATTTGTCGTGCAGTTGTTAAGTGTCTGAGCTGGTAATGCAATTTGCACCCCACTCCCTCCATCGCCTCGACCGGAAGGCCAGAAGGCCTCGACCCCTTTTTAGACCCTATTAACTCCTCTCTGGCCCGGCCCCCCTCTGCTTCCCAGCCGGGCTAAGAAGTAATGCAATAAAATACAGCGTTAGTCGTTGCCACTTGCTGCCTCTGTGCCTCCTGCACTGGGAGATGGCGCTCTATATATGCCTCCGTTAGTATAGAACTCCTGAGCTCCTGCCACGAGTAGTATTTCTCTCAGTGCACTTTGACTTGTGTAACCCCCGGCCAGTCGGGCTGAGCTCCGAGGCCCGGGCGTTGCTCGTAGCCTATTTCCTGGCGCACTGCGTTGTGATTTGCATAACAAAATGTTGCACAATCCTTGCTTGAACGGGGGTGTGGAGAAAGGATTCCACCAGGCGGCACATACGTTTCAAGGCGGGAAGTGGGGTCTCCAACAGCCTTGTACGCTTTCGCAAGGACTGCGAGTGCGAGGGGGAGAGCTGGTTAAAATTTATGGGGCAGCATTTGGGGGTGACACAATTCAACTTAATTCGTCGAGTCAAAAGCGTGTGAAATGTACGAGGAGAATTATTGTTTTTTAAATTGCGGCAGTAAATTCAAGCAGAGGGGCTGTGACTAACTTTAGTTGGGCAATTACGAGTGTTTGGGGTACAGTTGGGATCTTGTTTCTGAGAAGCCGTAGTTACCTAATATTAACACTCGAATGAGCATCCTGGAAACCTACTCCAGGAAGCAATTAGAATTATTATGAAGGCCATCCCACCCACCATCACCTCCTTTCGCAACCAGGAACGTGATGCGTGCCTAACTGTTTTTTTATTGCCGTTCAGAAAGAACAACAAGGACGAACGAACGGCAGAGACACGAAGATACGAGGATACGACATTCGCATCCGCTCTCAGCCCACAGGAGAGAGCGGAATGTTGCCGCAACATGTCGCCAAGCCTGGCCAAGTACCCGAAAGCCAAATAAAATAAATTGCAAAGGCAATTCAAGGGGGATGAGGGGAAAGGATACGGCAGGTGGGGCAAACTAGGGGAGTGTGTTGCTGGCTGATTTGGGGGACACATTCAAGCAGCGGAAGCGAGGCAGGCAAGCGGAAGAAGTTATTTCAATTGCCTTGCCAGCAGCAAGCGGCGCGGAAAGGGACAGCTAGAGAGAACTGAGCGGCGAGGGGGAAGGAGCTGCACTGTAGAAAGAATTAGGCTTAAACGACACAAATATTAATGGCTTCCGCAGGCTGGCTGTGTGATTTCTGTCAGTGTAGAGGGGGAGAGGACGCCCGAAAACAGTGGCCCGCCCTGTGGCACGTACAGCGGCTTAGATGCCGGCTAGTGTGTGTATTAGTTACCTGGCACGCTTCTGGCAGTGCCTCCCCAACCCCTCCCCGACTTCTTTTCTTCCTCTTCCCTCCGCACCAGCATCCTGTCTTCTGTGCACTGTGGCAGGACCCAAGTGTCGACTGCCAGGACGAGGGCTAATGGCATTTAAGTTTTGTTAGCCAGACTTGCCCTAATGCCGCCATCCCGCCTCGGCGCATGTGGCACCTCAGGAGCGGTGGCGCGAATGGGAGGCCGGAAATAGATTGGAAGCCAAACCAAACGCCATCGTGACAGTAAACGACCTTGGAGGAGTTGAGGTGGAGAATGGCATTAAAGGTTTGATAATATTTCTGTTTATCCCCTCGGGCGGAACAATGCGCTCCTGGATTTCTTGCGCCGCATAAGCGCTTTGTCTCCCTCCTTTCCTGCTCTCTCTGGCAACTCTCTGCCAGCCATATTTGGCCTCGAGGCTTACGAGATGCTTTTTGGCCCTGCTGTCTGTCTGTCGGCCCGTCTGCCAGTCTCCTGCTAGCCAGCATTTTGTCTATTTTATTTCGTTTTCATTTTCGTTTTATTGCATTGACAACAACATGGCAACACACACACATTCCGCAGGGTCCGGGGTCGGAGTGGAGGTGGAATGTGGCCAGGGGTGGACTGACTGGGGCTGGAGAAGACTACTTGTCTGACGTTTTGCTGGAATTTTAACAAGCCACTCTCGAATCATCGTCATCAGGGTCTTTGCTTCATTTGGCCCTCGGCAGCTTTCGTCAGAGTCTCCGTCCCCAGTCATTCCCCCAGTCCTTTCATTCCAGGGCCAGCTCTGCTTCCCTTTATGCACTTTCTGGGAGTATTGGGGAAGAGGCTATGCTACTACTGGTTTGTTCCTAAGGCTACCTGTATTTACTTTCTGGGTTTTTAGTTTAAAATAATTTGTAGGGTATAAGACTTTCGGCCATCCCGAAGGACAAAGATCTGGTCTTTTTCTGATACTTCAGGTTTCATTCACGTTTTTGGCCCGTCCCTGCTTTCCAGCATCCTGCTGGCTTTCTTCGTGTGTTAGTTTTGACGTTAACTGCGGCTGACTTCCCTTCGCCTCGCCCGCCCTGCCCCCAGCCACTCAGTTCTGCCCCGTCAGCATAATTTAATGTGCCTCCCCCCTGGATCCTTCTGCCCGCTTGTGTGGGAGAGACTGTCAACCTGGCAGCCAAAGTGTGTAATTCGTCATTCATACTCGCCCTGCCCGCCTCTCCCCCTGGTCGGGGACTGCGTCATCGGCTAGAAACGGAACCCGGCCTGCAAGGACGACCAGTAGTGCCTCAAAGTCCACGCCGCTTTAAGGATCTGAAGTGGAACACAAGCCTCTGGGCCGATTCGGCAGAATGCAGTCCCAGGGGAGTCTGCCGCGGTAGGAACACGCCGCTAATTGATTTTTATGAGGTGTTCTAATGAATGTCCTGGGCGGCCCATAATTGCCCGGACCGGAATGTACACAAGCCGAGAAAGTATGCGGTGTGTGTGTGTGTGTGTGTGTGGAGCGACATGGTGGAAAGTCTCTGAATATTTCATAAAGTTATGTGCTCGCTAATTAAATTGCCGTGACACAGACACAGGGGTCCTTGGCGAGGATACGTCGGAAAACATTTCACTATCGACAGCCTTGGGGGGGGCCTGATGAGGGGATCAGGGAGGAGCACCCCACCTAAGTAATTTTAAATGAATTTACATTAACCGTTGCCGCAGAGACTGCCGCGCGGAAAGTTCGTGCCACGTTCACTTTAATTGTTTAATTTGTTGGCTCCATCCGGGCTTGCTGTGTACTTACACGTGTGCGCGGTCCTTGCTAGTTTCGGGCGAACTTCGGAGTTACAACGGGAGTGAGCAGAAATTAAAATGAAGTAACTTTTACTTTCCAGAACTGGGCTGGCACTGTGACCGAGAGGGACGAATCAAGACAGTCGAGCCAGCCGAAAGTTAGGGCCGATTCCGAAAAGTTCCCGCAACTTGATAACTGGGCTCAGACAGATGTGCGTGGCCCGGGCCAGATTCATCGTTTTTTGGGACAAAAACAAGGTCTTCCCCCATACAGCACACACAGCTTATAGCTAATGTTATTTTCAGTGACTTTTCAGCTCCCAGGTTTGGCAGCAGCGTCTGACAGTTGTGGGAAAAGCCAACTCCGTTCGGATAACTATTTTCCGACTGCACCGCACGGACGGCAAACGAGAGCCAGCAGGGCTGCATAAATAAATCATAAAATGTTGAAAACGATTGTTTTCGGGGGCAGGATACGCGTGGCGGCGGCAGGATGTGGGCGGCAGCGTGTGTGAAAAGTGGCAATTGTGAACTTTCTTCGATCCGATCCGAGCCATTGCGAATTGCAATTTAGTGAATGTTTTATTTAAGTGTTTTTCGGTTTGTTGTGGCTGGCATATCCTTGATGGCAGGACTGCACTTTCCCACCCAGACTTGCTGTTATTTACCGAAGAATTAGTAAGGAATTCGATATCGATTTATTGCAAGTATTCCCCAAAGCAACGTTTAATTTGATTAAATAAAAGCAAACCAGGTCCACATAGTTTTCCACCAAAATGGCGCAGAATCATTGTCCCTCGTCGGTTGACACTACTACTCCTGGCACGCCCCCTGTCAGACACCACCCACTCGCAACCCGTGAGCACACACTCAAGGTAAATGGCAGCCATTCAAAGCCAAATCTTGGAAGCACACAAACATTACGTAGCTATTTTGAGCGGAGCAGTTAAGCTCTTCAATCTACAATTCCCCGGGCGCTGTCTTAAACTCTGCACTGCTTTCAGAGCTCCGCTCCCAGAGCTCCAGCGCCAGCGCCAGCGCCACTGCTGCTGATGTTATATTTATTTATTTTTATTGACAGCATTATATTTTATTTATTATATTGAATTCATGTCATTGTGCTGCCACGACCAGTTCGGGCCAAGTCCTGTTTGGGGCACGACAGCCAGTATCTGGGGCGGGAGGAAGCCAGTGCCGGTGGCACGTTCTCAGCGTCTGAGATGTGTGTTTGTGCCATTATTGTCAAGTCAGCATATAAAGCAGTGGTCCGAGGGTGAGCCGACTCCCAAATACACACACCCTGCACTGGGAGAAAGGCTTCTTAGCTGGAGAACCCTTAGGGCATTCAGAGCTTCCCATTTCTCTTACTGTAAGCACTCGTAGTTCGACCGGAAATCGTTATATAAATCAAAGACAGATTATAAATGCTGCGCAATTTTCGAGCTATTTTTACTTGGTGCGTCGGCGAGGGTTGGTCTGACGTTTCTGGGGTAGTTGAAAAGGTTAAACGGCACAGTGAGGCTTCTGCCAAGTGACGGCCCGACTGACTGGCCAACTGTTGAGTTGACGGCTGGGTGGCTCGGAGCTGTGCTCATTAGCACGGAAGGGAGCAATAGCAGTCGGACGAGGTGACTGAAAATGTCAGCTAATTACGTTTGCATTCTGGCCAAACATATAGATCTGTCGCTGAGCCGGAAGCGCCGTCAGGCTCATTTCCGTTCGAACGTTTCCTGTCATAATTCTCCCTCGCTCACAGTTCGTCCTGGCAGCCCTGCCCGACATCGATTTGGCCTTAAGTGCGCCAAGAATAAGCCAAAACTTTGGCAAAATTTGCTTTTAAAGCTTTCCCCCAAGGGTCCTTGAGCTGTCGGAGGGAGGGGCACTTGTCATGGCTTATTTCACTTGAACTTTGGGTCAGGAAAGTTGGCCAAAGTTGGCGTGCTCGGGCTTTATTTTTAATTTGCTGCGGCATTTCATTCGCTAAACGTTTCTGCTTTCTGGCCTGCCTTTTCGGCCAGCCATTAGGCCGCTCCTTTGTCCACAAAAAAAAAAAAACAAGAAAAGAGACTCGGCGCAATTAACTAACCGCCTATGATTGATGATCTTTTAAATGGGTGCGCGACAGGGCCTCCACTTCGCCACCATCGCCATTATTAAAATTCCCCTCTGGTTCCATCTCGAGTGGACCTCATTTGCCGAGCCGTGCCTCGAAGTGGGTCAAAGGTCAGCGGCCTGACTAATTGACACTCCAATTGGGAGCAGCCCGGATTCGATGGCTAATTGTCAAATGAATGCATGCGGACGGACTGTTTAAATTAATGCATTACTGCCCATGTGGCATCGATTATTTATTGCTGTCCGGCACAGTCCATTTTGTCAGGCCACTCAGCCCTCAACCAGCCGTCCGTCAGTCCGTCAGTCAGTCAGTCAGTCAATCAATCAACCGACTGGCACATAAAATATGCAAAAACTCTTGGCCAGGAACTTGATGAAATGCGAAAAGTTTTCCCAGCACTCCACCAACTAATTTTCCATCGACATGATGGCTGTTTGTAAAATTTTCCAATTGCCGATTCCGATGAAATCGAATCAAGTTCAAATCAAAAGTGTTTAACCTTTTACGGTATTAGGGTTACAGATTGGTGGGTCAGGGAATGAAGTTCCACAAAGATGATCTCCCATTAATTGTACGGTTATTGTTTAAATGTCTAGAGTCTAGACATAAAGGTACGTCACTATTCAGACCCTGAAATGCGCAAATTAGTCACAGCGATAAGGAAATTTCCTGGGAAAAATATTATAAAACGAAGGGATTGCGCATTTCCGTACTTCCGGCGGTGCGCAATACAAAGATAGTGCAAAACTCAGGCCTGGATGGGCTGGATGGCGGAATGCCACTGCGAAATTTGATAACTCTTCTGTCAGACAATATTTGGCATTTCTCCGTGTCGATCTCGCAGGCCTGCCGGCTGAAATATGAGTCAATTATACTTCCGTACGCATAAATTAATGATTAATTGCAAAATAAATTGACTTGCGTCACTTAATTACGTAGCCCGAGTGACACTGGAGAAAGCTGATAGTGAGGTTGCTGGCGAGGGTGTCACGCCCCTCGTAAAGCCTGTCAGTTCTTAGCCTGTCAACGCACTCGCGGAATGAACTCGAAAAAATTATAGACGCAATTAAAGTGAATCACGGTCTTTAGGTGGCTTTTGAATTTTTGGCAACACAATACTACAAAAGGATATTGGCCAAATGGCTGAAATAAGTGCTAGTTAAGTGGTCGGATCGCGGGTTAGTCCCTGTCGGTGGCCGTTGGAAAACTTTTTCTGAGTGTGCACCCGCAGCGACAAACACATGCTCGGCAGTGAGCTCTGAGCGGCAATTTCTGCTGTTGACATTCACAGTCAAACATGCTTAATTAATGCCAGCAACGTCCCCGTCGGCTGGGCCTCCCCCAGCCACCCCCAGGTCCCTCTCAGAGTGGCCGGGAAGCGGGGGCCGGAGCAATGTGACAACATTAATGCGAGCATTAACAAAAACTGCTGGCGCTGCCTGGCCTGCTGTTGGCTGCCGAAAATAAACACTCGCAGGCACACAATAATGATACACCGCCGAGTCAGAGCCGGAGACTGCTCCCCCTTCTGGGCAGGTCCTGGGCGAGGGGCTTCCTTCCTTCCGATCCGTCATTCAACACTTTCCCTTTCGTCCTTGCGCCTGTCTGCCAAGATTCTCGTAATTAAGGAAAAATGACAACAGTGTCCTTGTTACGTTTTGTAAATCGCTATTCCAGGACAACCAGTACCGATAATAACGATAAGGGCTCATACGAATTATCGGCCCAGTTTAGGGACCATCTGCTCCACTGTTTCGGGTTGCCCGGCCGGGGAAAAAATCAATAAGAACCCTTGCCGAAGTGGCTTTCGCACCATTCCAGTTTATCCGATTTCCTCCGCAGAAGGCAGGCAGGCAGGAGAGTGGAGCAATTAACGCCAAATTGATACGCACAAGGCATTGAACCCTCCGGGACGAAGGTCCTGTTTAAGCGTTCGCATTAAGACGTAATTAAAACAACGCCGAATGAGAGGCGAAATACCCCTTTTGCAGGCGGTGGCCCGGTGGCACGGAGGAGTGGCACGGAGTCAAAAGATTATTTGTATTTAATTTCAAGCACGCTGCCAGGAAGCCACGGCTGCTGCTGCTGGCCAGAGACAATTTTACTTTCTGCTCAGACTCAATTATAATTAAGCATTTAAGTGGAAACGGCGGAGCGGGAGCAATGAAGCGGAGGGGGGGCCGTCAAGGCAACAGCGATGACGGGACGACCCCGCCCCGCTTTTTTATTAGTGGTGGCCAGCACCCTAATTGCCAAGAGTTTCGGCAGGATAAGGAGAGGAAACCCGAGCATGGGCAGTATTTAATTATCGTTCATCGCTCATTGCTGGCCATTTTCTCGAGGATGTTCTTCCTTTGGGGCTGGCACTGCGAGTATATGAGTATTGGGTCATAAAGTCTAGTTGGCCGAAATGAACAAGAGTTCGAGCAAAGAAAATCCTGGAATCAGAGACCCTCTCCAAGCCAAGGACACAGTCGAACTTGTCGAACCCTGTGCCCCGCAGTACGCCCTCAGGACAAGGGCAGGATACTATTATACAAGCCCGGTTGCCATGCCAGCGCATTAATTGTTACGTTAACTCGTTTAATTTGCTTGCATAATGCAGCCTGCAACCAGAGCCGAAAAGTATCTCAATTAGTGAGAGCCGGGCAGGACTCGGCGAAGGACTCGGCCCTCGCGTCCGTAGCTCATTTGAATTTATTTATCCGGCCCAAATAGGTCAGTTAGTAGGTGTTTATTTTTAACTCGCCTCTCGGCCCATCCGAGTGACAGCCCCACGGCCGAGTGGGGAGTGACCGAAACGAACTGCCAGAAGTTCAGGGATGTGAAATTTTAATGAACTTTTAAACGTAATGAAAGTAATTTTCAAATGGCAAGCTCTCACAAAGGGGGAGGCAGGCAGGCATGCGGCTTAACTTATTTTTGTTTTTGTGCCCCGGCGCAACTCGATTGCGGGCCAAGTCGGGCCGGAGCTCCGCAACTTTTGTGCGTCCTTCAGACATCCAGCCATCCAGCCATCCAGCGACTGCCCGGATGGCACTCGAAATGATTCCGAAATGGCATTGAATGTAGCATTTAATTTGTGCGCCACAAGCGGCGATGGGGTTGTGGTGGCAGATGGTGGGCAAAAGTTGCTGGTTTTTGTTGGTCCTTCGACCAGGTCCGCTGCCTGGCCATGCCTGCTATTTATAACTGTTTATTTGCCGTGTGCCAGTGCACTGAGGGAAAGCCTATCCGATGTGGAAAGTAGCCATTAGATCAGCCAAAATGAGCTCGGAGGATTTTCTCCAGTGCACATGCAGTTCGTCCTGTCTGCCTCTGAAGGGGATTAATTAAACTGACAACTGACGTCTGTGGGCGGTCGTAGCGCTCCTTCTCAGTGCTCCGAGGGTTCGAGTCGCACAGTCCACCAGCCCGAAGTCTTTGAGACCCGGAGTTCGCATAATTAGTTAAATGTGCTTTGCCGCAACAATGGCGGAGGGAGAGGATCTGGGGCACCCTTTCGTCCGCTGGGACCTTGGCGCATTTTTTACTTCAATATATTCCCTCGCATCCCATAAAGATCATTCCAACCGTTCCGGATAAGGCAGAGCCGGAGCTCTAATTGCAGAAATATGTATTAATAATTAGCCCCGCGAAAATGCCAAGTAATATTAATTAGCGGAGCAGCAAATCAGCCAAGGATGTACACTCTATTTTGGACCACTTTGGCCCAAACACACGCCTCCCTCCCACTGAGCACCACGTAAGCTCGCGTGCAAAAAATACCTTCTGCCGCTCATTTGCTGGCAATTAGTGCGCAGAAAGAGACGGAGACAGTACAGTGAGCACTGGCTATGTGGACCAGGCTCATTTCATTTGTAACTTGGTTTCTCACTCGACATCCATCGCCCCACAGGACCCACTGTGCTTGTGTGCTCATCCTTGTAATCGTCGCAGCATTCGTTCGGCTGTATTTTAATTAGAAACTTGTACATTTTGCCTAATTTGACAAATTGTTTTAATACAGTGGGCCAACTTTTCAACCACATAGCGACGCAAATTAGTTTTCTGGCCGGGTCGGGAACTGGGTCGCCTTGCGTCCTAAAATGAAAACCAATCATTTGCTGCAGATGCGCTGAAAGTTATGCAACACTTTGTAGCCCGAATCCCCGGGGAGGCCTGCGCTGTTTGTAATTTGTAATTTCATTCGACAAGCCGCACGTCCGTCTAGTCATCTAGGATATTCATCCAGGATGCCTCTCCCCGGCCTGAAAAAAGTAACAATAAACGGCGCGTTGTTTGGCCAGTTAATTGACGTCCGAGCCCGTTGACCAGGCCCCCAGGAATTCGTAATAGCCCTCCACCCAGTCGAGTGTGGGTTAGGCCGTCCTACACGGGGCTTTCTTTAGGTACTTGGCTGTTTATAAAATGTGCATATTCCATATGTAACCCCAATAATTGCCCTTTTAACCTCCCAATTCATCATGAACCGGATTATGAACACAATCTTGTTGCCATCTCGTCAGTCTGGACGCCTACGTTTAGGGATTTATTTAGAATTGCAGCTGAATGGGTCGTTGGCTTAGCGCTAAGTGAATAATTACAAAAATAAATTTAAAATTAAACGCCTAGAGTAGTCTATGTGGCTTCAGGCGGACTGGGAGCCTCCTCCCCAGAAACCTTCTTGTAGAGTTCGTCGTGATGATCCTTGTCCGGGCACATCGCCCGAGCACGCTGGTAGCGCTCCTCCCAGGCTCCCCGATAGGACGGAATCAGCTCTTTGAGAGTCACTTCTACCGCCCCCCGAATGTCCTTCTCGGGGCTCTCGTAGTGGAGCAGCAGGAGGTCCATGGCCCGCTTCACGAAGGTCTCCCACACCTCCCTCTCACCGCTAGAGCCCTCCTCGGACTCGCTCTTAAACTTCGGCTTGAGCTTGCCCACAGCTATAGTGGCCAGGGTGCGGATTTCCGCCGAGGGGTCGTCCATGCGCTGCAATGTGGAATAGCCGAGGGGCTTGATATCCTCCACGGACAGGCCACGGAAGTAGACGACCGCCTTGATGGCGAAGTGCCTGGTGGAGACGTTGCGGTCCTCGAGCAGACTGGGCATGTGCTTCGCCAGGGGAGGCAGCACCTCCAGGGCCTCCTCCTCGGCTCCCTGGGCTAGAGCGCAGAGCGTGGCCATGGCCAGAGACCTCATGGCCTCGGCGCTGGACCCGGCTTGCCACGTTAGGTACGGCTCCACCACCTCCGAGATGAAGTGGCTCAGCAGCTGGGTGCTCTGCTCCCGCTCTATGTCGACGGTCTGCGACCAGCGCAGCGAAGCCATCGACAGGGTGCTAAAGATCCTCACCTGCGCGCTGTCGCAGCAGTGAGCAAACACCACCTTCACCTTGTCTATGAGATCCGAGATGTAGGTGGCTCGGATAAGGCATATGTTGATGAGGCCGTCCAGCAGCATCACGGGCTCCGCGTTGTCCTCCAGAGTGGCGTCCAGGTTCTCCACGTCCTTCAGGGCGAGGTGAAACCACCGCTCGTGAAGCTTGGCCTCCGATACCTGCTCGAAGCTAATGATCTTCTCGATTAGGGTCTGCCCGAACTCTACATCCTTGTTTCTGCCGCCGGTGAGGGAGTGCGAAAGTGCCATCACCTTGATGCAGGCCACGTAGACGCACTTGTAGAGCTCCGTAAGCTCCTCCTGGCCGGCGTTTATTTTAAGCGACTTTTGCAGCACCGTGTCCAGGAGCTTAAGGATGTACCTCTGGAAGCCCGGCTTCAGGGTGTGCGAGTATTCGACTTCCCGGAGCATCTTCGCCAGGCGCATGAGCTGCTCGTAGTCGCCGCCTAGCGAAGCAGTGAACATGTAGTAGAAGCAGCGCATGTAAGACTCCCGAGCGTTGCGCTCCAGCCCAGTGAATCCGTGCTCGATCCAGGCATCGTAGGCCAGCAGTCGCCCCATCAGGTCCGCTACCTTGGCCGCTTCGGCACTGACCTCCGGCACGGGGTCGATGCAGGCGTAGGCAACGTCGCTGTAGATCTCGAAGAACTTTGGAGTCATGGCCGCTTCGGCGTGCAGGACGAACTGGTAGAGGAGCCTGAGCGAGTGAAGCCGCACGTTTTCTTTCCAGTCGCCGGTCTCCCGGGTGATTAGCTGGAGCAGCCTTAGGGAGCGCTGTACGAGTCCACGACACCCGATCGTAGGGCGGAGCACGTTCTTCGGGTAGTTCTCGACCGGCGGGTCACTGAGCTCCTGCTGGCTCAGCTCGGCCTCGTTTTCGAAGAAGTATTGTTTTCCGCACAGCAGCCACTTCCCAGAGATGTCCTTCACTACATCAGGGCAATCATCCTTGAGGCAACACAGGATCATGGGAAGAATGCGCTCGAAGAAGGAGTAACGGTCGGGTAGCTCCAGGCACATGATCACTCCCACCTGACCCACCATGCGGCGCACTAGCGGCTTCGAATCCATTAGCACGGGCGAGATCTCGTTGAAGAGCCGGCGCATGTTATCGCCGCTGGCGTCGATGTGAAGACTGATGCTTCCGATGGCCTCCACCGCCGATATCCGCGACAGTGCGTGCTTGTGGTTCAGCATGCCGTACAGGGCGACGGCCAGGGAATCGCAAAAAGGACGCAGCTCCTGGGTGGTGGCCACCTTGGCGAGGTCTACCAGCGTGGCGCAGCCCTCTCGCTGCACCAACGGGTAGTCATCCTTGATGGACTTGATCAGAACTTTCACTACCTGAGGGTAGCACTCTCGGATTCCTCCCACATTGCCCATCTTGGTGTACTTGCGCACCATCAGATGAAGCTGCGCTATGTAGAGGAGGCGGATCTCCTCGCTGGGCTCCACCGTCTCCGCCTTTCCCATGCGCTCCGCCAGGGTGGAGACCACGTTTAGCACGTGGAAGTCCATGGGGGGCAGAAGCTGCAGGAAAGCATTCACTGCCTGTACGGCGTGGTCGCGGACGCTCTCAAAGCGGTCGTCATAGGCCTTCAGCAGGTGCAGGTATAGTTGATCGAAGACGTCGGCTATGTCCTCGGTGCTCACATTCTTGGGGGAGTTCTGGATAAGATCGCGGATACCGGCTAACGCTTGGGTCTTCTGGCGGCGATCCGTGCCCTCCAGCTGCTCGCAGATCTTCGGAACGTCGACTTCAAAGGGCATTGTCGAGAGTTTGATCACTGACTTGGCCTCTGTAGTTCAGGGATTGTCACGGATCCTCCGGAGTCTAACCGACTTGACTATCTTGGGTTAGGTAGGGTTCTCTCGGTAATGGCTTCTGAAATTCTTTTATAGAAAGTCTGCTCTCCGTTTATACTGATGAATCACTTAAAATCTAATTTTGGCAGTAATTTCTACCGGCTTTCAGAGCTGATGTTCCGATGTTCGGCTGTTCTGTGAGATTTCTGACTGAAAATGCGAGAAACGAGAATGGGGAAACACGTTACTAAAACGAAAAACGCGCCGGCTACTATGACTACACACTACAGGCCAAGGAAATGTCGGGTTTCAAGGGAACACTTGTTTACTTGGCCCAAACACAAATTCCTGGGCAACGCGACCCGAGAAAAGTTCCAAACAAGAGCAGCTGATCAGCTGTTTGCGTCGCCAAGTGTTGCGAAAGCTCTCGCCAGTGTTGGGAAGCGCCGACTTGGCGCGCCAATTCGAATTGGCACTCCGCTCGTCGACGATGGATCTTTCTGTTTGCCAAGCTAATTACCGGGCCATAAACGAAATTTCTGTGGAACTCGAGGGCAGCTGAGCTCGGCGAGCAATTTGCGGCTTTCCGCCTTTTATGAGTTCGGCTCTGGCGGCGATCCATAAATGTGGCCCGCCTCGCTCGCTTGTTCGCTTATCTTTCGGGCCGGCTATCTAATTGCGTTGTCGCTTCTTATCAACATCAACAGTTAACAGAACGACGATATCTAAGATTGATTGCCGCCGGGCTCTTGGGCTAGGGGGTGGGGCCTGGGGGTTGGGGGTGACTGTCGGACGACGGACTGACGAACTCCTGATTAAGAGCGTGTTTGACGGGAAAATCACATAAAGTGTCTATTTTTATCGAAACTTAATTGCATTTGTGGGTCACTGAAATTAGGGGTATAATGGCATTTGGGGTGGGGTCGCTGATAAGCCCGAAATGGCAGCTCCGATATGGTTATAATTAACTGATGTGACTGTTACTGGGGTGCTGGGGGTCGGCCCTAATGATTTTATTAATTATTTACGAAGGTAGCTCGTGGGATGATCCTATTACGCGAATTTGAATGCGTTTTGCTTACATTTGTTTACAATTTGAAGGCATATTTAACAACCGATAAGGGGGTTACCATGTTAACCTGTAAGACCTGTGGGGTAACCTAAGAAATGTAAGAAGCCCCGAGGGATACGACGGATACGAGATGATATGTCCTATCCGACTTTGATCTTTCCATTTGAATTCAATTTATTGGATGGGTTGATGTTTCCCTTTTTTTTTTTATTAAATTTCCCTCTCGATACTCTGGCTATAAGGCCGAAGATTGGCGGGCCCAGGTCGACGGCATATTTTATGAGCGTTTCTTTGCTCGCCCTACACGAACCGAACCTACTGTCAGAAATCGTTGTTGTCATTTTTATTGAAAGCCAACGCGGTCTCTGTCGCAGAACAGATACAGATACAGAGTCAGATACAGAGATACAGATACACTGGCGAACTCAGAAGTTTGGTTGCTCCCATTTGTGTGCACAATTCGAATCCATGGCATACCTTTTTGTGTGTGCGACGGCAGGCGGCACACGCTCCAAAGCAATTAAGCGCATGAATCAGGTTCGTTCGGTTTCAGGGCAGGGCGATGTATCGGTGTATCTTCGCCGCCGTGTATCTGTGCATTCGCCGTGTATCTGTGAGTGCGGCGTGCGTTTTTTATGGGCCGCCAGAGCAGAAACTGTCGGTGGGGGCACACAGACTGACACAGCCACAGCCATGGGCACCGGCACCGGCACAATAAACTTAATTGATATGAAATGAAGTCATTTGGCAAAATCACTGGGAGAGTAATGGACCGCGTTCATTCAATTTGATTTGATGTCGGCCGAACTGGCCGGCCCGACAACAAAGTTATACCAATATGAATATTTTTTGCGAATACATTTTTGTTTTTTATCGCTCGTTGGGGCTTTTCGAAAGCAATTGAGCATATGCACACGTATGCGGTATTTACATACATCTCCATACCCGTGTATGGTACTCGTGTACTTTTTTCTGCAAGAGTTTCAATTAAAAGTGGCGTTTTTTGTGTTTGGAGGCTGGTGCTGGCAAAGTGCGGAAGCCGCTCGACTAGTCTGGCCTGTCTGCTAACGCAGTCTGCAGCAGATAAGGCCAAAATGCAGAAACCAAGCCGCAACTGGCTCATAATGGTCATAATTATTAATTAGACAACACGACTACGTACATGGCAGCACCGATTGGGACCGACTCGCGGTCCAATTGGCCCGCTCTGCGAGCACTTAACCGGACTTGCAAAATGCGAAATGCAAAATGCAAATTTGCCAATTGATATTGATTGAATTGCAAACCGCTCTGGTCTGCAGCAGTCGCTAATTAGTTTTATTTTCAACTGGCCGGCCGCTCAACTGCACTCCGATCTGCGTCACTTGAGCGATCAGCCCGGGTCGACTTTTGCTCAAGCCGCCTTGACAGAGTGACGGTGTGTGTTGTCTGTTTGTGCCTCGATTTCCCGGAATCGCTGATTAGGATTGCGCCTAATGGCTTGACTTTTGTCGTACCCAAGAATCCAGCACACATCACTCGCCACACACCACACGGACGGGACTGGACTGGGATTGAACGAAACGAGTTGCGCCCCGTTCTTTATTCACAGCTATAAAATTGTATAAAAGTTCACCAACGACTGCAAGTGCTCCATAAGTGGCCCGGGACTGCCCCTTCCCTCTGCATTCCGCCTTAATGAGCGCCGTTTAATTGCGTGACTCACCCGAGGAGGAGGAGGAGCTGCGGCAGCTTTTTGCGGCAATCAGGGGCTGTCATCGGCCTTGTTTTTCGGCTGACTGGACTGGTTTGGAAGACGAGCTCGAAGGTGGAAGAGGGCCTATCCGGAAGATAATAGAGGACCTCGAACAGCAAGCTAGGACTCCCAACTCATAGCAACTTGGCCACTAGCTCAGGCACTAATCCACTAATATTTAGTGACTAACCTGGACTAGTGTTTGGGGAGCAAATGGCTAAGAATGCGTTGGCAGGTATCGTTGAATTAAAAATCGTTGAATGGCATATTGTTTATGCATTCTATTTCCAGAATGGTCAATTGCATTAGTTCTATTATTTGTTTGCTTGCGCTATTAGCGTGAAAAAATGCAGGCAGCCCGCTGTGTGTGTGTGATTGTAATGAGAGCTACAAATGCTTTTCTGTTTTTGCATATAATTTTCCTATTTACATTTTTGCGTAATCGCCAGCGGGCCCATTCAAATGCCAAATGGCCAGGCGAGCTGAGCCGAGTCCGAGTCCGAGTCCGAGTTCTGTTTGTGCAGTCGCATAGTTGTGCCACTCTATATATACACTGGCATATCGAGGTACACAGATGGAGTACACCCGATCCAGACTGACCAGTTCCACGATATTCCATGCCATGGCAATCCATTCATTCATCGCGTCAAGTGTCAGGCGTCTGTCAGTCAATCAGAAAGCAGTTTGAGTAACAATTTAATTAATTTCAGTTCGTAATGCGAGCCTGTTATGCCACAGATATTAGATATCATCGCACACTCCACACAAGCGCAACGCACATTCACATATCCCCACTTCCGTGGCTCTGAATGAATTGCCATTTAATTATGCCTAATACCCGCATGACATGACTCAATTAAAGGCCGTGTTCGGACCCGACCGCGCCAATTCGCCCAACTTGGCCCAAAAGACACGGCTCGGATGCAGAACCGTGCCGAAAGGGAAAGCGTTTTGTTTAGGCTTTATTAGGTTTCGTTATCTCCGTAATTAACAGGCAGTTCACAATCGCACATCAGCTCAATAAATAAACAAATAGTGTGAAGAGCATTGGCTACAGGGGCTCTGGTCAATATTATTCGCATTTTTCTTCCCAGAGTCCATTTGGCCAAAGTCTGCCCAAAGAGAAGTCTTCTTGCAGAAAATATATCCAATAAAATATGTCCATACGGGATTTTCAATGTGCATTTGATTCTACAGCGGAATACCTTAAATGATTTCTAGATCGATTCTCCACCAATCTGTATCAAAATCCTGAGACAAAATATTTTTCAGATTTTTGGTCCATTTTTCGTGATGGGATCCCTTGAAAATGGGGTTTCCCCCATATGGCCCACAGTGATGGCTATATCTTCCGCAATTCTCAACCGATTCTCAAGCGGAGTACCTTAAACGATTTGTGGATCGATTTCCCACCATTCTGCATCAAAATCCTGAGACAAAATATTTTTCATATTTTTTGTCCAATTTTTGTGATGGGATCCCTTGAAAATGGGTTTTTCTCCTATATGGCCCACAGTGATGGCTATATCTTTCCCAATTCTCATTCGATTCTAAAACGGAGTACCTTAAATGATTTCTAGATCGATTTCCCACCATACTGCATCAAAATCCTGAGACAAAATATTTTTCAGATTTTTTGTTCATTTTTCGGGATGGGATCCCTTGAAAATGGGGTTTTCTTCTATATGGTACTCAGTGATGGCTATATCTTTCCCAATTCGCATCCGATTCTCAAGCGGAGTACCTTAAACGATTTGTGGATCGATTTCCCACCATTCTGCATCAAAATCCTGAGACAAAATATTTTTTAGATTTTTTGTCCATTTTTCGGGATGGGATCCCTTGAAAATGGGGTTTTCCTATATGGCCTACAGTGATGGCTATATCTTTCCCAATTCTCATCCGATTTTAGAGGGGAGTACCTTAATCGATCGATTCTCCACCAATCTGTATCAAAATTTAGGAGCGAAGTATCTTTTAGATTTTTAGTCGATTTCCTGCGGAGTCTCCTTTCGAAAAGTATGGAGGCCCTATATGGGCGCTATATGGGCAGAAAGGACTGTATCTTTGGAAATAACCATCCGATTCTAAAGAAGAATACATTAATGGTTCCTAGATCGACTCTCTATCTGATTCCAAAATAGCACCCGGTTGTTAGGAACCGATTAAATTTGAATATCAGTTAAATTCAGAGACTTTCACAAAGGGGCTCATATGTGGGCTAATATAAATGAGCAGTCATTCAGAATTGTGCTTCTTGGGCACTGCTGTGTGTGCGCGACAGCGTTTGTTTACATTTCGAATAGTTGCGGCAATTGTCGGGCAATGTTTTTCGCTGTTTGCGATTACTAAAAGCGGCAATAAATGGCAGAGTGCTGAGGGCAGCCGTACGGTCGGCGACTGATTCAACTGGGGCTTGGGAATGGGAGTACTACCAGACTGGGACGGGGTAAAGTAAATACGGTTTTTCGTTTTTCAGCTCATTTTACCGTAGTCATCAAAGTGCAGCAACACAAAATCAACAACATTACAAGAGCGAAACCAGCGACATCATCATGAAACTGAAATTAATTATATGTCAACAACGTGATTGCGGCGAAATTTAACTAATTTGATATCGGCGATTTGTTTTCAGCCAAAAGGGCTGATAAGATACGGGTTTTGAGTAATTTATCGGGTTCAATAGTCAATTTATATATTATTAGTGTTAAATATTTTATTATACTTTGAGATTGCTCCAAAATAGAATGTAAGAAAGTCATTTTATGACATAATTTTAAGCCCTTGGGAAAGTGTTCCCTCCCCTGCAATATTGGGAAAACGAGGCTAATTGGGGCTAATATTGGGAGCAAGGGTCGCCTAGAAGCTGACGTTCGCAAGTCATCCTGCTGGATGGGGTCTGGTAGGGAGGAGTCCACGTGTCTGATTTCAATCGGCAATGTTGCCTATCTGATCGTGATCCCTTTGCCCCCAAAAGATGGGAAATTCCCGCGAATTCCAGAGGGTTATATTTAAATGTATTCCTAGTTCGATTACGAATGCTACAACGTTGCTCACCTGTGGGGGGGCCTCTCGGGCGGGCTGGGGTCGTATCCGATAGAGCCAAGGCGACCAGAAATCCAATTAAACGATTTTTACTTTCGTTTTGGGCTTCCGCTGCTGCTGGTTTTTATTGCTGCTGGTTGGGTATTATTACGCCTTCCAGGCCGATCTATTTATAGTGGTCGGCTCCAAAGGTCGACTGGGTGGGCCTCGCTCAGCTTGGTCTAGTTTCGGGCTTTCGGGGCTCCTTTGTTTTCACTTTTTGTTATCCTTCCGAGCTCACTTTTTAGCACTCGCTGGCTAGCGATTTACATGGCCCGCTGGCTGGCGCTGCTGATTATAATCCTTAATTAGTCTAACGAGTTGCAAATTAATCCACTTTCCCTAATTAAATTGGCTTGCGTCGACAGCGCGTTAAGTACCAGGGAAAAAAGACAAGCCATAGACACTGCCGCTTAAAAAATAAACACAAAATACGCCATACAAAATAATTGACAAATGAAAGAAAGAGACAAAGGCCGGGGGCCGGGTGTGGCAGTGAAATGTAATTAATTCATTAGCCAGCCAATTGACAATTATTGATTATTGTTTTGCCTTTGCGTTTGCGAATTAATTTTAATGTATTTTGGCTTGCTGTTTTCATTGGGGTTTCGGGCTTTTTCACCATTAGCTGCACCATTTGTTATTGCCCGCACGTCGTTCATTTATTTAATTTTTAATTATTTTGAAATGTGTTCTGGTTCATAATTGGCGCCCATTGTCTCCTCCACCGCGGCCGCCCTCCGAACGACTGCATATTGCGTTTGTGATTTAATTAAATTTATTGAATCCATTTATTTATTGTGAAACAAAGCCCGGTTAATCCGAATAGCGACCCTGTTTTGCATAATATTTCTTCTGCTATATTTAATAAACTCAAATGCACCTAATCATTTCATTATTTAAGCTCTTTTACACCAAAATCATATACCAAATTTAATTTGCGAAATTAGAGTCACTCGCGGAAACACCAGGCTCGTGAGTCATCAGAACTGGAATCTGGTGGCTCGGTTTTCGGGGTAATTGATGGGCTGCCTAATTGTTTTGTTTCATTTAATCGCTCTCGAAAGCGCTCCGCCCGCTCCGGCAATAATCACTTGAACTTTCGGCACTGAAATGGCAGCTTTAGCGCTTTATGGCCATTGTAGAGTAATATATTTGCTTTTACTTATTTATTATTAATACGAGCGAGCGTTATGGTCTGGCGTAATTAATGGAAAACGAGCACAAAGCCGGCCATAAAGTGGACTTCCATTACGATACCAGCAAGCAGACACGTTAGAGGGGAGAACGTTTTATTTATAACACCTTTGCCTTTGCATTTGCCAGCTTTTGCTGAATTTAATTGAGTAATTGAGGTATTTTGTGAAATGAAAATTTCCTTTTTTGCCGCACGGCTTCATAACTTATTTATGAGCAGAGTCCGATTAGTGCGTTTGTGCCAAAAAGGCCGTATTGAAAATTGGCAGCAGTGCGGCTGCGTAACTTGTTGGACAAATTTGTCAATTGCGCCGGCTCTGGTCGGGGGCTTGGAGGGTGCGGTGTGAGGTGTGAGCGACCCATGTATCTGGCAGATACATTGCCAGCAATTAGCGTCACTGGGCCGGAGTGGCTGCCTGATAATTGTGCTGACCACGTTGCCGTCTTACTAACTCGATTGCCGATTGCTGATTGCCGTTGCCCGTTTGCCCGTTTGCCGTCGGTGGGAATCGGACAAGACCAAGACCACGCACAAAACAAACATATTAATGGGCAATGCCGGGCGAAATCATAAAAGAAGAAAAAAAGAGGGCACAAAAGCGGCGAGCCACTAAAGAATCCCAGACCCGATATAAATACTCTGGTATATGTATGAGATATCGCATAATGGCGCTTGACGTCGCTGCTCTCTTGCCGCGCTAATTCTTTTGACCAGCAAACGCGACAATAACAAACAGACGAAATGCTAATTAGTTTCATGTGTGACTAATGGACACAAAGCGGCACAAACACAAGCACAATCACTCGCATTCAGATACACCACACCACGGCACAGATACTACGGCACAGATACAGATACATGCGTGACTTGTTATGGTTGTTTCTGTTGTTGCTGCACACGCTTAATTAAAATAGTACACTTTAGGGGCAACTTTGAGGGGGTCGATTGCTCAGTTATTCACCACTATGCGGCCTCATGCCTAATTATAATTACGTGTTTAACAACAACAAGCCGGAGCTGCCGCGCGAAGTTGAATCTGAGTCTAGACTCGAGACCACGGTGGTCAGGAGCGCCTATTTACCGGTAGAACTATCCACGGAGATGACGCTGCAAGTCGCTTATGTTGTCACTAATGCTCCGCCATCTGTATCTGGGAACAATCCAAATCCACAACAAACCAATCCATCCGATGCCGTAGCGGAGACACGGAGACGCAGACACGGAGAAATACCGACCACGACCACGACGGCAGCGATTCTGAACGACTTGTGAGTGCGAGCACTATAAAGCACGAAAACGACGTCGTCGACAAACGACGACAACAGTGACTGTTGCTGGTGTTGCTGCTGGGTTGGATGGTGTTGTTGCTGCTAATGTTGCTGCTGCGACTGCTTCTGCTTCTGCTGCTGCTGCTGCTGCTGCTGCTTGTGTGTGAACTGCGCCGTGCAACTATTTAACGACGACTGAATGTGGCAATTATGTATCTAGATACATTTTGGCCAAACGCAGACACTCACTCACTCACTCAGAGGCCGTTTATGTATTTGTGTGGGGGTTGCTGGCTAAACGAGGGATCCGTCATAAAACATATTACTGTAATTACAATTATGGTGCGCACTCTCCCCCACACAGACACACACTCACGCAGATACTCTGCCACAGATACAGATACAGATACAGATACAGGTACTGAGATACAAACAGTTGCCGCGCACGTGAACATAACGCACGGCAATAAAGCACGAATTTTCATATGCATTACGGCTTAATTGTGCCTCGTCGCTGCCTCAGTGTGCGAAGCTCATAAATCGCTCTGTTCGTTGCCTTTGCCCGTTCCAGCAACATGTTGCTGGCCGTTGGCTGGATGTTGCCGTCGCATTTGTATCTGTATCTTTGAGTTCAAGTAGAGTGTAGATGTGGATGTGGCTGTGGAATGGCTCCCTCCTCGTTGGCTCGTTGGCTCGTTGGCATGATTATTAAATGCTGAATGTGTTTTATTGCTTTGATTGTTGCTGTGTGCCTGCGCGCAGCTTCTCGCCCCACTCCCTACTCTTCGGATATCCTCTGTATCTTTTGCATTGCAAATTGCCGACGTTGGCTGCCTCACTGGCTGACTGGCTGTGCTGTGAGTTTGTTTTTAATTCTCTATAATTGAGTTATATGTACATACTTTAATAAGGCAGCGGATGCTGTTGCTGCTGCTGCTTCTTGTGGCTTTGGTGCTCTGGGGAGTCCATGTTGCTGTTGTGCTTGGTGTTGCTGCTGTCGTTGCCGCTGTTGCGACGGCGTTTAGCGCTAATTAATGCTGAGCCAACGGCTTTTCAATGCTTTTTATTGCTCTCGGCTGAGTTTTCGGTTCGCTGGCTTTGTCTTTCTCCCCTTAATTGCTCACCGAGATTTATTATTTGATTAATTATTGAGATTCGCCGCCGCGGCCGTGCCGCTCACATTTCGGTTCGGCTTCCGAGCTCTTTCCAATTTCTTTAAAAGGTTTCGCTTCTCTTTGGCAGCTTGGCTGGCTGGCTGTTTGGCTGTTTGGCAGCGTCGGCAATAATTGGTGTATAATTTCATTTCCTGAGAACGTCGCTTTGGGTCACCGCACACACAAAAGCCATTCATTGTCTTTGTCGAAATGTCGTAATTCAATTTGTTGCTACAGCCAGCCCGCCAGTTAGTCAGCGCTCGTGTGAGTGCTCCCCCGGCATTTTTAATAATAATAAGTTTTTAAGAGGGGCGACAGCTCAATTAGCCATAAGGGTGCGATTATTAATGGGCCGATGCTATGCCTTCGATAAGGCCAATTACTCATGCTCCGAGTGAGTGCCTGATTGCCATTTATTTTTGGGCTATCGCGGCCTCATTGGCGATGGTGACTGCTATTGCCAAATGATTAATTCGGATTCAATTGCTGACCTGCTTCGATCGCGGCCCAGTGAAATTCCGGCCATTAACGCAAACAACTTCCCAAGAACACTCTCCTCGCTGGGCCCAATGAACTCTGCGAGCAACAGCTTAAGCTCCAGCATCATTAGCTGGAAGCTGGATGGGAAGGGGCAGCAACAACAGGCCCAAACAACAATGGCCCTGCTCCGAGTGGCCTGATTGCTCATTTAAATTGTACGGGCTGCAAATTGAATTGAATCGAGGACTCGCAAAGGATTGGCAGAGAACTAAAAATAACTGCGAAAATATGAAACAAGAAGCAACATCAACGAGATGCCCGTGTTTGTGTTGCTGCTGCACAAGATGAGGCATAAGATGAGGCACAAGATGAAGCAATTTAGATACACTTGAATGGGAGCAAGGGGAGTGCGAGTGGGAATAGTAGGTTGCTAGACAGAAGAGGATAGTTTGCTTTACCTACCGAATTATGGTACGAATTTTATTTCAATATTCTAGTCCAATTTAATCCAGGATAGCAATTTAATTCTTATTTAAAGTTGCATGAACTTGTTATATAAACCGACAGTGTGGCATCAATGTTAGTTAAATCATGTTGCAAACAAATTACTCGTTGCATGGGGCGCGGATGAGTCTGTCAGCCAGTCAGTCCACTCCACTGGCACCCAAAATATCAGTGGCTGGGACTCCGTTCGAAACACGAAACACGCGGATGGCCCGAAAACGGTGATGGGATTTGGTCCGAGGAACGACCCGGTCGTTAACGCAAAACGTCAATTTACAACTGCGAATGTGATTGTGGATGTGAATGCCCAACAGCGGCAGAGGCAAACAAGCTGGGCAACATACTCCCCCGTTCCCGGCAACATGTTGCACGTCCAGGAAGGCTGCTCCCGCTGCTGCGTGGCAGACAAAAGCACGAACAAACAAACTTATTATAAATATCTCCACTTAAGGCGAGCGATTCCACGATGCCATGATGCCCCGGCGCTGTGGGGGCCCATTTGTGCGGCAGATACGACGGCAACCCACGGCGGCACGGCGGCACGGCGGCAACATCAGCTCCTCGCTGCTGCAAATGCGCACACGCAAAGCAGAAACTGCTCTCATTCAGCCCGCTGTGGCAGGGGTGGGCAGGGGGCAGGGGGCAGGGGGCTGGGGCACGGCGGAAGGGGAAGGGGAAGTGCTGTCAAGTCGCATAAGGCAAATAAGCAACAAAAGCATTAAATGATGACAACAACATTGCGCTTAATGGACTGCCGCGTTCGCGTCTCAATTCAAAAGTGCATTTGGCTCTCACTGGTTCCGTCTCTCTCTGGTCGGCTCTCCCCTCTCTTTCTGGCCCGACACTCGCTCTCTTTC